TAAATGCTAAAAATGAAAATGGATCAAAATATTGTATTAAAATTTAACATTTGTGTACACTAGTGGGTACCCGGAACCGGAACCGGTACCCGGTGGTTCCAATACCAATTTCTAAATTTTAGGACCCGGTTGAAGTGGTTCCAATTCCAATTCTGAATTTTAGGACCCGATATCAACCAATTCCAAGTCCGGTTCCTAAAATTTTGACTGGGTACCCAATTTGCTCACCGCTAGTTGCTGGTTTTGGTCAGGGGTTACTTGTAGGGTGTTACTGGTTTTAGTCAGGGGTTACTTGTATGTAGGGTGTTACCGGTTTGGTCAGGGGTTACTTGTAGCCTTGTAGGGTATTACTGGTTTTGGTCAGAGGTTACTTGTAGGATGTTACTGGTTTGGTCAGGGGTTACTTGTAGGGTATCGCTGGTTTTGGTCAAGGGTTACTTGTAGAGTGTTACTGGTTAGGGTGCTACTGGTTTTGGTCAGGGATTACTTGTAAGATGTTACTAGTTTTGGTCAAGGGTTACTTGTAGGGTGTTATTAGTTTGGTATGAGGCCTACAAGAAACCCTTGAATAAGTAACAAGTAACCATTGAATAATAATTCGTACAAATAACCTTTGAAGTAACTCATATAAGTAACCCATGAATAAGTAACTCATATAAATAACCCTTGAATAAGTAACTAGTGCAAGTAACCCTTGAATTAACCCATACAAGTAAACCCCCTGAAAAAAAAATACAAGTAGCCCCTGAAAAAAAAATCAAGTAATTCCTGGAAAAAAATACAAGTAACCCCTGAGAATACAAGTAACCCCTGAATAAGTAATCCATACAAGTAACCCCTGGAAAAAAAATTACACCCCTGGAAAAAAAAATTACAAGTAACCCCTGAAAAAAAATTACAAGTAACCCCTGAAAAAAAATATACAAGTAACCCTGACAAAACCAGTAACCCCATTATGCGTGTAAACATTAACCCCGTTATGTGCGCGTCTGAATCCGTTATTTTTACTGACTTGGCAGCAGGCCACACAGCTCTATAAAAGTAATGACCCATGAAAGCAACATAATTTGGTGCTCAATTGCATCTCTTTAAATGTGCTTGGAGTCCACACAGCAAAAATGACGAAAAAGCTTGTCGACGGTATCCATCATTCTAGGGACATTGAGCTTTACCATGCAAAAATGTGAATTAAGGGGTCGTTTGGTTCGCACAGTGGAATCGGAATGGAATAGAGAAAGGGTATCAAAGAGAATGGAATGAATCCCTTTCCATTCATGTTGTTTGTTTTATAAAAAAATACAGGGGAATCACCTCCACCATAGCACCACCACATCCACCATAGCAACACTCTTTTTCTTCAATTCCCAGCCACCCTACAGTTCAACCATCACCTCGCCGCCCCTCAACCTCCTTCCTTAGACCTCTCCGCCCCTCACCCTCCTTCCTCCGACCTCGTTGCCCCTCACCCTCCGTTCTCTGACCGACCTTCATTTACTGGAAAACTTACCCCCCCACCCACATATAACCCTTAAAAACCTTCCCCCTCCCCTTAAAACTGTCGGCCGCCCCTCCCCCCACCCTCGAAACCCTAGCGGCTAGGGTTTCGAGGGTGGGGGGAGGGCGGCCGACAGTTTTAAGGGGAGGGGGAGGGTTTTTTAGGGTTATTCGAGGGTGGGGGGACGTTTTTTTCGAGGAGGGGAGATGTTTCCGGGGGGAAAGGGTGGGTGGGGGAGGTGCACCGTGTTCCGGCGAAGGGTGTGGGAGGGAAGACGTGGTGGCTGGGTGGTGATTTTGCTGTAGAAGGTTGCTAGCTAGGGTGGATATGGTGGTGGGTATGGTGGCTAGGGAAAGAGAATGGATAAGTCTAGGGGGGTTGGGGAATCACTTTAGAGGAAAAATGGGTAAAGTCAATAATGAAAGAGGGTAAAGGGAATGATTGATAGTAACAAACAAACAACAACAAAGGGAATGGGGCATGTTCATTCCCTTTCCCTTTGATTATTACCCCCAACCAAATGGCCCCTAAGATTAATCAATTATACAAGGAACTTCCTCTGACTTTGAATTAACTGGTCACTTGTACATGAATTAAGCTAGTAAACTCACTGACTTTCTATATTAGACGCCAACTTTACATGAAATGGTAAGAGTCGGTCCAATGCCCACATAATGTCATGATGTCATCATATGTGGAGTCTAATGCCATGTCACCTGTGCGCACTCCTTTATTTACTACTGATACCAACTTTTAGTTCTTTTCCATTATTAGATAGGATAATTCTATATTCCTTTTTAAATATTTGATTCATTTTTCCATGCGCAGAGTTTTAGGCGAAATTGGAAAAAGTAATAAAATAGGGAGGTAGTGGGTAGGTAAAAGAATAAAAAATAAGTATAAAGTATATAATAATTTTAATACCGAATAAAATATAGAATGAAATGAATCTAATTATGATTATATTATAAGTTGTACGAAATATATTAATGGACATTTATGGTTATATTTCTTAAAAAAATTTAACCTAAATATTTACATGAGACAAACAATTAGGGATGGAGGGGAGTAATATGGTGAGATGACATACATACACCCAAATAACTTACATAGGCAATTAATACACGTTAAATATGATTGATTCGGGTCGAGGGAGAGATTCAAAGAGAGTCAACAATGCAAAGAAGAGGAGAATGACACAGTAGTGAAGACAGTGAGATAAATAGAGAAGCTTTAGATAAGAAAGATTGAGCAAATAAAAAAAAAACTAGTCTCTTTCTCTTCTCTCTAAAACCCTAGCCCCCTTGTTGAATTTTGGAGGGGTTTCCATCGATTTTTATCGGTGGAAAGCCCTAATTGTGTACCTTTTATCTTATTTTAGGTTTATAATAACTCCAAGGAATATTTCTCCTTCGAAAAACAGAGTTTTTCTTCTTCTTTAGGAGGATTTGGCTCATTCGAAAGATCGGTTTTTCTCCTCTCTTTTGAGGGAGGATTTGCCTTTTTATTTCATGGATTGCTATAGTGTTTTTTTATGGGTAAAATTTTGTGCGGGATCGAAAAAGAGGTTAATATTTCGATTACAATCTAACGAATCAGTCAAAAATTTTCTACACGGCTATAAATCATATCGATATGAAAGAGGGTATGAAGAATGTACGATTTGCAACAACGATCATTGCTTTGTTGACGAATGTTTTTATTTAATTCAATTGTGATGTATTTTTTATTAGATCTAATTCTCTTTGTAAATGTCGTATGACTTTTATTTTTGAATCAATATTTTTTTTAAAAAAAAAAAGATAAGAAAGATTGAACATCATTGTCATTGTAAAAGAGTAGAAATCTCTCAATATTGTTGTTATAAATAAAACTATCCTTTATAAACACTTATAATTGAATATGAATTTAAAGAGCTTTTTCAATGGAGAACCACTTAAGGTTTGACTCTTAGGCCAGTATCCCCTTAAGCCTGTTTAGAGAGTCAGTTTTATCTTTAATCATGTGACATGTATTTTGAGAGACCATGATTCTTCAGAGAGAGGGAATGATCATTTGGAAAGTCATATACGTAGTCCAAAGTCTAAAGAGGACTTTTTTTTTTCTTTTCTAATAAGAAGTCCCTTGTAACTAATGTAAGGGTTTGTTCTTTTCAACTTAATTTCAGTTCGGTTCACTTTAGTTCAGCTCCAATCAGTTCAGTTCCTAATTTCCTTCTCTCGTAAATTATTCAATTTATTTTAGTTCAGTTCAACTCCAATCACTTTAATTAGTTCAGTTTAGTAAATCAGCCTAGGCCCTAAGTAAGGAGGAAAGTGAGAATTCTACTTGTAAGAGATGAAAATCTTAACCTCTTTCACAAAAATGAAAAGAAGATCTCCAATTACTAAGCCAATCTTGAATATCTAATCTAAATCGAACATGGCTTATAAACTACAAGTTTTATTCAAAGCATTGTATAAAAATCATTAAGGCCCCATTCATTTTATAAACTAAGGGCCTGCTCTCATTAACTGAACTCAGCTGAACTGAACTGAACTGAATTGAACTGAATTGAGCTGAACTGAACTGAACTGAACTGAACTGAAAATTTTATAAGAGAAGAAATTAGGAGCTGAACTGAACTGAACTGAAATGAATATATTATAAGAGAAGGAAATTAGGAGTTGAACTGAACTGAACTGAGCTGAACTGAACTGAACTGAGCTGAAATGAACTGAATTGAACTGAATTGAATTTCAACGTAAGAGAACATGCCCTAAACCAGCCTAATAACTTTTCTTCTCTTTACAAAAAGAGTTGGTCCACCAAAACTGGAGAAGCACAACAAACTAAAATGGTCTAAAGAGAACATTATTTTTTCTTTTCTAATAAGAAGTTCCTTGTAACCAATGTAAGGACCTGTTCTCTTCAACTTAATTTCAGTTCGATTCAGTTCAGTTCCTAAATTTCCTTCTCTCATAAAATATCCAATTCACTTCATCCATTTCAGTTCCAATTAGTCCAGTTCAGTAAATCAGCTTAGGCCCTAGGTAAGGAGGAAAGTGAGAATTCTACTTGTAAGAGATGAAAATCTGAACCTCTTTCACAAAAATGAAAAGAAGATCTCCAATTACTAAGCCAATCTTGAATATCTAATTTAAATCAAACATGACCTATAGAAAACAGGTTTTATCCAAAGTATTGTATAAAAATCATTACGGCCCCGTTCACTTTATCTTAAAAAAAAAGTAAAACTCCGTAATAAGTAAAAATAATTTAAGTTTAGTAAAAATCAGTTGCGTTCAATAAAAATAATTATAGTAACCTAAAAAAATAATAATAATAAATATATAAAATTAATTTCAACAAAAATAATGGTAAGTAAATTAGCCTAATAACTTTTCTTCTCTTTGCAAAAAGAGTCGGTCCACCAAAATTGGAGAAGCACAACAAACTAAAATGGTCTAATGGTAGGAGATTTGTAGTAGGTGAAAATATTTAAAAAATAATTAAAAAAAATCCATTTTTTTAATTTAAAAATACCCAAAAAAAGAAAAAAAAATATAAAATAAAAATATCTAATTAGCTTTCAACCTCAAGCTCACACACTCACCCACTCTCTCTCTCCTCTTCCTATATTAACCCCTCAATCCCCTCTCCTCTTTCTTTGCCATTCTCCCTCCTTTCCCAGATTCAATCTCTTGATCTTCCCACCAACCTCAAACATGAAGGTTATTGACAAGATCAAAGCTTCAGAATCATCCAATCAAACCCTTTTCTCTTTTGAATTCTTTCCCCCTAAAACCGAAGATGGTGTTGAAAATCTCTTCGAAAGAATGGAGAGAATGGTCTCACATTCCCCTTCTTTCTGCGACATTACTTGGGGTGCTGGTGGATCTACTGCTGATCTCACCTTAGAAATCGCTAATCGTATGCAAAACATAGTTTGTGTTGAGACTATGATGCATCTTACTTGCACTAACATGCCTGTTGAGAAGATTGATCATGCTCTTGATACTATTAAGTCTAATGGGTTGCAAAATGTTCTTGCTCTTCGTGGTGATCCGCCTCATGGACAGGATAAGTTTGTTCAGGTCGAAGGCGGGTTCGCCTGCGCCCTTGATCTTGTAAGTTGTATACTGTTATTTGTGCATTTCATTTGAATTTAAGGGTTTTTGTTTTCGGGTTAGATCTGATTGTTTGATTGTGTTGTTGGTTTCAGGTTAATCATATGAGGAAGAAATATGGGGATTACTTTGGGATTACTGTTGCTGGGTACCCTGGTGAGCTGAGATTATTCCATTGTTTAGCTTTATTTTGTATTAATTTGATACAATTTTGGATTGTGAGAATGTGTTTTTCATTATTTTATTTTGTGCTAGTGTTTGGTAAACCATTATTGTTATTATTATTATTATGAATTAGCACATTTGTTTGGATTTTTGCTTTAAATAGCTGATCAAAAGTGATAATTGTGTGTTTTGTTTATATATTCTTTTATAGCATATTCAAGATCTTACTATAGTTCAATGATGTGCTATTATCATAATACCCCTCAAAAAAAATAAAAAATAAAATAAAATGCTATTATCATAAGACAAATATTATAATGTGTTACACCTATTAAATTATAGATTGTGTAGTTAATTTTTATATTAAGGTTTTAATCTGTATTTTATCAAGCAGTCTTATATTCCCTGTTGTAAATATGTGAAAAATATTGAACTATTGTTTAGTAGTGAAATATGATAATATTTCTTGTAGTGTTTAGTAGGATAGTTTAAGATTATAGTAAGAAATTTCACAATTGTCATTGTCCCATTAATTAAAACTGTGGATTGCATAAAATTTAAAGGGTAAAAGTGATTTCATGGTTTTTGTTGTTCTGTTTTGATGTAGCAAATTCTTTGTGATTATATATTTTTTTTTTGGTTTAGAATTTCAATAGTGGTAGTGTTGGTTTTTCTCTTAGTTTAATTTTTTAACTTTGATGTCATTTTTTGAATAATTTAGAGGCACACCCTGATGCTATTAGTGAGAATGGTTTGGCAACTCCAGAAGCATATGCTAGTGATCTGGCTTACTTGAAGAAAAAGGTAATTCTCTCTTTTTTATCCTCAATGATAAGCACTTAAGATTGGCTTACGTTGATAAATGCAATGCATTAATTTCATTGTTAGTGATCTTGTTCTGCAACTATGCTTGTGCTTACACTGGTATTCTGCAAATGGTTTAGGTTGATGCTGGTGCTGATCTTATCGTCACACAGTTGTTTTATGACACTGATATCTTTCTGAAGTTTGTTAATGACTGCCGTCAAATTGGAATCAATTGCCCAATTGTTCCTGGCATTATGCCCATTAATAACTACAGAGGATTTATAAGAATGACCGGTTTCTGTAAAACCAAGGTATAGGATTTTTTTTACTCTCTGTTAGATACATATAATGTAATTTCTATTTGACGTTTTTGATATGATTCAATTTCTATTACTTTTTATTTTGACTGCTACTTCATGCTCTGAACTAATTTGCATGATTTTTGGCTGGAATAACATTGTAGATTCCTCAAGAGATCACTGATGCATTGGAGCCCATCAAGGACAACGACGAAGCAGTGAAAGCCTATGGTATTCATCTTGGAACTGAAATGTGCAAGAAGATTTTGGCTAGTGGAATCAAACAGCTGCATCTGTATACCTTGAATATGGACAAGTCTGCTCTAGGAATATTGCTGGTAGCTTCTCACATCCTACTCCTTGTAAATATGTAATGGATTGTTAACTTGTGATATGTTGATTTATATTTTATATAATACAACTGCTGCAGAACCTTGGATTGATTGAGGAGTCCAAAATTCAAAGGCCATTACCTTGGAAAAGGCCAGCTAATGTTAATCGCACTAAGGAAGATGTCCGGCCCATTTTTTGGTATGTGCAATGCTTAATATTGTGAAATTATCTAGAAAGGGTACCTATTTTTAATGAGAATTAGATTTTCCATCTTTAAATCTATATCTGATGATATTATGATATTGATTTGTTTGGTATTCTTGCTGATTGGATACAGGGCTAACCGTCCAAAAAGCTACATTACCCGTACTAAGGGATGGGATCAATACCCACAAGGGCGATGGGGTGATGCTCGTAATGCTTCTTATGGAGCATTAAGTGATCATCAGGTAGCTTGATAAGCCTTCCTCTGCATTTTGAAATTAGAATACACGAGTATATTTGAATATGTCTCTATTGAGTAAGCTTACATGAGTGGTATAAAATAATCTCATGTTCTAAGCTGGGGGAATACTCCCTCCGCTGACAACTATATCATTTCCTGGTTACTAAAGTACAAAGGAGGACTGTAACTGTAATTTACTTTTCGTAACTATTATAGAAGTCATGTACTATTATTTGTTGAGGATATAGTGTGGAAAAAATTGTAATACGGGCCTTAACCTATCACTAGCCATATAAAATATCCATTCTGCGGGACACGGAATATGTGTAGCCAGACTAGCCACTATTTTCTTTGAAACACCCTTCCATTATATGAAAGTGTCAGGAATGAATACGTATCCTCTTACATTAAGGTCTTCCACCAAGAAGCCTTCACTTCGATTTGCCAGATGGCCAAGCTCATCTGTTGAGATGTAATATTAACATATTTTCTGTTCTATGTTCAGATTGCCTTCTGTTTGTCTATGCTTACTTGAATTGTTTACTAGATCATGTTGAATGTAAGCACTTTTGCCAATCAAATTCATGATCTTGCTGTGTAAGTTCTAGATAATATTCGCAATGTAACTGAATAGAGTTACACTCATAAGAAAAGTTAATTATTGACTGTTGGTTGAATGCTTGATGCTTGCTGTTTTATCACTGCCTGCATAATTCGTCCTTGGAAGTTGTAGTTATTTTCTGATTCCTTAATTATGTGGTGACCAGATTATATCTGCAGTTAATTCTTCATGTTAGTTTTATATTCTTGTATGTGCTTTAGTAACATGTAATAGTTTCTTTGTGATTGCTTCCTCTTGAACTTGTCTTATCATGAAATTGAATATCGGCACCTCCACTTAACTATCATAAAATTTTTGCTGCAGTTGAGACTATGAGATGTCTCTCCAAACATGTCTTTTATGTTTGCTACTTAAATCATTGGCCACATTATGCTTCTCTGATTTCATTGACAGTTTATGAGGCCACGTTCACGTGATAAGAAGCTGCAAGAAGAATGGGCTGTTCCACTCCAAAGCGTTGAAGATATAAATGAGGTTAGACTTCTATGACTGCCGACTTACTGAAAAAATAGGTGGAATGTCGATTAACATTTTTATGGGGCCTGATGTTTTCTTTGTTATTTCAGATATTCAAGAACTTTTGCCTTGGTAAGCTGAAAAGCAATCCTTGGTCTGAAATAGATGGTCTTCAGCCAGAAACTAAGATCATAGATGAACAACTGAGCAACATTAATAAGAAGGGCTTCCTCACTATCAACAGCCAACCTGCAGTTAATGGAGAAAGATCAGACTCCCCCTCTGTTGGTAAGTTTCTAAATACCTGCAGATGTGCCCTTTTAGTGGGAACCCTTCTGTGATTTTATGCTTAGCTCTGTTAAACTCCCCGAAGTAATTTGTCGACTGATGATTTTTTTTACTACCTAGCTGTTTGATCAGTATGAATTTCATCTACAATATTGTTTTGATGGATAGTAAATATTTAAAGAAAATATACTTGCAGCAGTCTATCCGTGTATAGTTTGCTGGTTCATGTCTATTGGTGTTTCATTGTTTCTTAATCTAATTTTGTTTTCTTTGATCTGATCTGGACTTGAGGTCAATATTAGCCTAGTAGTATTGTAGATTTGTAGCCTTGTCATCTGCTTTTCATGTGCTGCCTTCTCCTGGCATGTTGTTGCTGTTATTGAGGAATGTACCAATAGTCTATAATGTCTGTTTCTCGGCTATATAAAGATATTTCCTTGTATTATTTAGACTACTTTCTTGACCGGAACTAAGATTGAGGATCATAGTGCTTGATTGATATGGCAATATTTTTTATAATTTCCAATTGACTGCCATTTACTACCTATTTTTCCATCATACATGAATCTTTGCTTTGTTTGATTTCTTGCATTTAATTTGCTACATTGCTAAGATAAAATGCCTAAAATAAACGATCATTTTCTGTAGGATGGGGTGGACCTGGTGGATATGTATACCAGAAGGCTTACGTGGAATTCTTTTGCTCAAGGGAGAAGTTAAATGCGCTTGTTGAAAAATGCAAAGGCCTCACACATATAACCTACATGTCGGTGAACAAAGGAGGAGATTGGATCTCAAATGTCGGTCAAACTGATGTGAATGCAGTGACATGGGGTGCATTCCCTGCTAAGGAGATTATACAACCAACCGTTGTGGATCCTGCTAGCTTTATGATCTGGAAAGACGAGGCATTTGAAATCTGGTCAAGATCATGGGCTCAATTGTATCCTGAGGGCGACTCATCCAAGAAATTGCTTGAAGAGGTTTGTGCCTTGGGACGTTTCTTCCCCTTGTTAAGTTAGCTTCTATTTCTAAATGACTACACTTTGCTGTAGATATTGCATCACTTTGGTCTAACTATTTGTTACTTATACAGGTGCAAAACAGCTACTACTTGGTCAGCTTGGTCGACAATGATTACGTCACTGGTGATCTGTTTTCTGTTTTCGCTACTCTTTGAGATAAGAGTGTTACTTCTACATTATTTCTCTATTTGCTTAATATTGTATCCAATTGGGCATGAACTTTGTCCATCCCCAGTGTTGCCATTAGATTTAGTTGAGCTTGTAATACCATAATCTTGTGGGATTTTGCGGATCTCCCAAGCCTCCCAATGCAAATTGCATGGTGAGTTTCATCTACTTATTGCGCCTTTTGTACCATTTGATTTGAAATATGTAAGCATTTGCCTCTGGTTCTGCAATATTAATCGTTTACCTGGGTAATCTCGCAAGAAATTGAATAGGCTGATGTCGTGAGCAATATCGATGAAATGTACTGTACAACCTATTGTACTATAAGTTTAAGCATCAACCATTTAATAGCTTTTCAAGGAAGGTTGCATTTAAGAATTCAAGTCAAGATAGCAAATGAGTTTTTTCCAGTTTCCAGTCTTCAATTCTGATTTCATGTTTATGCTTGAATTCCAGTATCGAACTCATAAATATAAAATGTGACCAAACTAATTGATGTATAAGCAGGTATATCTATTAACTGAATCTATCGTCGATTATAAGATTGGTTGAAGGTGCTCATTCAGTCGTTCTCATCAATCGTACAGTGTATTAAGAATGCTGATGAGTAATGTCTTAAACAGATTCCTTCAATGGACTCCTAACCAAATGTGATCTACTTAAGTGAAATGGATGGAGTATTGATAATTATAACCTATTAAATGGATAAAATTGTCCATAAAATAAGCAAAGATCGATATAGGAGTAACATGTAAGCAATATAATCTTACTCGTAAAGCAACTCAAGAATACTTTTTCATTGGGGATTTCTGTGACCACTTGAAAGTTGTCAGATACTTCAGAGCGTTTTTTTTTTTTCTGTACAAAATCATGCTTACGAAGCAAACATGGGCAGCGGCAATATCATGCACCACCTTTTGGCTTATAAATACACAGAATAATCTTGTAGTAAATCTTCATCAAAGAAATGCAAGGATTAAATTTCGCAAACGTATATAAATCTGTACAGTGCACATTACATAAAGAATTAGTGTCCTAAAATGGCACAACTCATTTTGATTTGGAAAGTAATCGCCCAACAGTTACAAGTACTGAATTATGCAAAATTTTGTCATGGTTAATGAACAAAATTGAAAGAATAGGATAAAAACATCAGCCGGGTGTAGCTTTCATTAAGATATATTTGCATCTTTTAGGGATTTGGAAACCACAGGACCTGCAGAAGTCCTCATGTAATGCCCATCAAGCATTGCAATACAAGCAGCATCAGTCTTGAGATGGGGCTGAACTAATTCCCAGATCTTTTTCTTCTGAATCTGAATTTGACCCAAAAAAAAAAAAAAAAAAAAAAAAAAAAAAAAAAAAAAAAAAAGCAAAAAACAAAAACTACTTACTCAAGGAATACAGCAGCATAGTTTAATATTCACCCAAATGGGTTTAATTTACTTCATTACTCTCTACACCTAAAACATTACATAGCCACCTAAGAAAGCCTACTTCAGGTTCCTCACTTCCTCTCTCTTTCAGATCTTAAAAGGGTGTACATGAGTAACAAAATAAAGTTCACTCCCAGGCCACAAATACAAGGTTACCACACAGACAGACTGAAAGCAGCAAAACAACCAACAAGCATACATTTCTTTATGCACATAATATTTTGCACAAACTATCAGCAAGCATACATTTCTTTTCTTTATGCACATAATATTTTGCACATAGTACCAACAAGCATCATTTCTTTACCATACAAACAAAAACACAAATTGAGAGAAGAGACTACGCTTCCCTATATTAAAGATCTACAATGACCCAGTTTGCTGTGTCCGCATTGTCCGGTAAAGATGTCTTTTGGTTAAATTATTATTCATAAGTTCCTCTGCCAGTAGGCCAGTATTCATCAAATTGTAGGATCAACTAAACCGATGGTGGCTGTAGTCCTGTAGCCATCAAGACTTTATTTGACCAAGGATTTCTTATGACAGAGAATGCCTTTCAATGCACTATTTTTTCAGGTAGGAAAAATAAATATTATTAAAATGACATGAAAGGAGTTGTAATCAGAGGACAGGGTGCCCCCTAGGATGAACAAGGTACTATAAGAAAAACAGTTAAGCCATACAAAAAGCCAGCAGAATTAAGGCAAGGACAATATAAAAAATTGCATTTGACACCAATATGGTAATTGTAAGATGGACCACAGCCCTTCTGAATATCTTCTTTGTAATATGAAGATGGCAAGTCATGCAATGCAGTGAAGGGGGTAGAGCCAAGGTAGGATGGAGATAGAACCACTCTAGAGGATTTTTATAGCTATTAAGATTAATACTTTCAATTATAAGCAGGTCCAAAACTTTTTGTACAGCTACATTCACTGCTTACTTGAAACTGAAATATTAGGTAAAACATGAACCGCGGTAGAGTCCCAAATGTAGTCACTACTCACTTCATCTTCAATCCCAGAATTGAAGCACACATACACACACTAGTATTGTATTTCCTTTCTAATTTCTATTTCAAAAGCAACGACTTCAAAAGATACTATTAGTACCAAATTGTCCAGCAATGCTAGGATGTATATAACATACTTCGTATTCCTCTAAAATCTAAATCTCTAACTCAAGCACCTGGCCTAGCTTTTAATATTGCTAGGATAGGTATTAAACTTTTATAAAGGGAGATGATTAGCCGAAAGTTAAGCAGAAACTTCATACCTGATTAGCGGTGGCAGCAGCAGTTTGATTTTCCTTTTCCTCTTCTGAGCCAAACCAGATTCTTTCACCAGGAACTGAATCCTCGGGAGGTACAAGGAGCTCTACATTCTCATGTGACGCATCAGAAGCAGCCATAAGCATACCATTTGACTTGATGCCACGCATGTTTCTTGGTTTTAGATTGGCAAGTACAAGCACCTTTTTGTCCTGCATTTTTGCAAATATCCAACCTTTGATACCAAGGAAGGTTACAAATGCTCAATATACAGTAAAGACCTTAAAACAAGCAGGAAAAGCATGAGAGGCATATCACACTATTCAGAAAACTATAATAGAAAAAAATTAATTAGTCAAGCAGAAAACTTTCCACAACAGTTGAATAATTTCTTTCTTGGTATGCACTAAACAGCATTCAAAAGAAGTAAGCTCCTAATGCTGAATCAAACAAATGCATAGCATAATTAGAAGCCATATAAGCAACGCTGCAAGATCATCCACATCATTCTCAAAATAATGACATCTCTCTCAACATTGAGGCTATCCGCCTTGGATGCGATAAGGGTCTTTGGGGGGGGGGGTTCATATGTATGTAGCCTTGTCCTATGATAACAAAGGCTGAACTCTTCCCCTCTTGATTTGATATACAATGTTAGTCAACTAATGTACAATAGATAACTAAGGCTGAACTCTTCACCTCCTCACCGCTTGGTAACAATGTTAGCCTCCACCAATGAAGAAGGCAATAATTCAACCCAAACCTCTCTCGATTTGTCAGAACTCAGAGGCCTAATAAACTACTCACAGCCGCCCTCCATGAATCAAAAAAATGTAAAGCAAATTTAATTTGGAGGTCATATACAATTATACAATAGCCAATCAACTCTTTTGTTTCCAAAATCTTTTGTTTTTCCTAGTTTGTTAACTGTAATGAATTCCTAGTACGGTGTTTGTCTCGGACAAATCTTTTTAAAAAATTTCCATTCAGATTATGCCCCATGGACCATGAAGTCTTCAAAGTTATGCATCATATAGGGCTACTTAAGAAAGTAAACCTATCACGGTATAACCCTCATAAAGCCAAATAAACAAGAAGATGCAATCTTCAACCCTAAAAACAGATCATAAATCTCATCTCTAATCAACAAAATCATGGAATCAAAGTAGCATTATATACTTTTACTTCCTTAGCCAAGCTTAGGCATAATAGTAGAAGCAAGTGCACCTATCAGTAGCATAGCAGAAAGGTGTTCCATGCCAATTCATTAATATGTCTCATGTTTTCTTGCAATTACTGTAACTTCTCAGGAATGTCAACAACTGAATCTTCAATGCATTGCTAGTACATCCAAGAAATCTAAATTGGCTAGTTGTAAATAGCACCAAGTTTTTCGAAAGAAATGATTATCTTAAACGTATACCCAAGGTATTGGGAAATTGGCTAAGATTTTCAAATAGCAAGAACATGATGGCTTACTCTTAAGGTCTGTTCAACAAATTTTTGTCTAAACTTATACTTGTACATATTTATTTTCTCTGGAATAAGTCAAAACCTGTCGAGCAGAGAATAACACCTTAAGAACAAAGGCGCAAAGTGAGCCCCTTCATTTCCAATTAAACAATCAACAATGCATCAATAACAGCCATAGCTCTACCTTATCTTCTATTTCATCTCTACTAGAACAATCAAAAACACATAATACTACATTACAACTCACTACGTATAATTCCAACAATAATCTTAGATACCGGATTAAATCCCGTCACATCATTAAATCTATATACCACTCTCTAGTCTTTACACCCAAAAACAATCCAACGTAATTACAATTTACAACCAACTAAAAGCAATCAACAAAAACAAAACACAAATAATCCACACTACACCACAAATCAATCCATAACCCCAAAACTACACCACAAATCAATCCTTAACCCCAAAGCACAAGTAAAAAAAGCTCAATTTCATCAATGGCGAAACAAGAAATTATATACCTGAATTTGATCAATGGGAACATACTTAACAAGCCCACTACAAATAGTCCTAGGCTCATCTTCCCCAACATCAACTTCCTCAACATACAATGAATCAGCATCAGGATGCTGCCACGCCTTCACCACCTTCCCAACCCTTATATCCAACAAATTCGCCGCCTCTTTCACGGCCCCCATGTCCGGAACAGGGGGCTCCGATTGAGGGGCAGAACCCGAATCGACAACGGTCGAAGTGAAAGTTGAAGCAAAAGTTGAAGCATCTGATGAAGTACAAAGAAAGCGGAAATGGTGGGGTGGAGTAGAAGGGGATGGAGTGAAGGGGAGGTGAGAGATTGAGGAGAGAGAAGGGAATGTGGAGGTGGGTTTGGTGTTGAGAGAAGGGAGGAGAGAGAATGGGAGGAAGCGAGGAGGGATGAAGGTATGGTGGTTATGGCGGTAGAAGAGAATTGTTCCTCTTGCTTTCAATAGATGGTTTGCATTTGCTGCTGCCATTTTTTTTGTTTGTTTGATTTGGTTGTGTTTTGGTATTCTGGTAGAGTGTGTAATCTTTTCTTTTGTATGTCTATATTTTTATTTTTATCCGATAAAGAAAGGAGTATTAGTAGTTTCAGGGCTTGGTTAACATAAAGCATCCTTGCGGGCGATATAGAAAAAGAAAAGGATTAAAGGAGAAATTTTTTGATGAAAATCTCAAGATCTGTTGTGTTTGGTTCGGAAATGTGTGGAGAATGGCTCAAGGATGAATTGTGCGGGAAAAGATGAAGTTTGCCCAAGCTTAGAGGAGGATGAGGGATCAATGTGCTTGTCCCAAAAGTTTGCCCAAATCTAGGTGGAGTTTGCCCGGAAAATACAAGTTAATATCCTATATTAACAAAACTTGATTATACCAAAGGTAGTTATGTAAATTTAGCAATCACACCCCCTTTCTCTCTCCTCTATTGCGACCGCACAACCAACAATACCACCCGTCGCACCATCGCACAACCATTAGCACCACTAGCCAACCACCGCACGACCACTAGCACCCCCAGTCGACCAACTCTGATATAACTGATCATTAGAACTACAATTCGACCGCCGCAAGCCCCACCCGCACAAGAAAATCCCTTTTCTCTAAGGGGTTAGTATGGGGCCACTTTTCATAATTTGCCATTAGGATGTCTTTTGGCTAGCCGACTGGTTTAGAGACGCAAAGGTGGTTGACCATGGGCATGGCCAATTGGCCATAGGAGGGAAAGAGAGAGAAGGAAATACTGGCCATGGGAGCGGAGGATAGAGAAGGAAATAATGTCCATGGGAGAGGAGGGGAGGGGAGAGGAATTTTGCTGATATAAATAACTTTTGTTAATATAGGATATTAACCGAGTTTTGCTCGTTTGCCCGAATTCGGGAGAGGTCTCCATAAACTTCTGACCTTTGTTTTGTGCGTTCAAATTTGTTAAGTGTTATGGAAGCTTCTTTCTTGTTTGTTTGATTAGCTATATGGTTTGCATTGTATATACTCATGTTAGTAATTGTATTATAGTAAGAAAAAGGAAGATATACATATTATTTTAGGGGAGAGTGTCTATAGCCCAAACAGCTACGGTGTAATTGTGTAATTGTGAGAGAGGGTTTATGAAGTCGGGAGCTTTAATGATGTAATTTAAACTTGTAATTTCCATTAGGAAAATTTGAATTTTAGTACCTCGAATATGGGGGTAATTGAATTTTAGTACCCATCTAAAATTTTATTTTAAATTAGTACCTCCAAAATGACAAAACTATAGGTTTCAATACCTCCGTCTAATTCCGTTAAGTTTTCCATTAGTGGGGCCCATTAACTAATTATTTAATAATTTAATTTATTAAAAAAAGGAAAAAATTTTGTAAAAAAAAAACTAAAAAAATAATAATAATAAAAACAGCCACTGCCACCAGCGCCGGCGCCGGCTTCCGGCTGTTGGGGGGCGAATTCCCCTGGCACCGGCGCCGGCCACCCCTTCCCTTTCCCTCCCTGTTTTCCCCTTCCCTGACACCGGCGCAACCATCACCATCTTCCCTCCCTTCCTCGTTCCTGGTCGCGACACCCCACCCCTCCCTTTCCCTCCCTGTTTTCCCCTTCCCCGAAACCCTAGCGCAACGGTGGCCGTCACCCTAACCCAGCCCCATCGTTGTCTCCCCGACCCGAAGCCGTCGCCGAACTACCCAGATCAGACCCCAACCCAAACCAGCCCAACGAGAAACCCCCATCGTCATCTCCCGACTCCAAACCAGCGTCGAACCACCTAAACTAGCCCAGCAAGAAGCCGACTGCAACAAATCAACCCACCACCGCCCCAGTTTTCCTCTCCCTTACCCAAAACCGTCGTCAAACCAGGGTACAGTTGGGCTCGTTTCGAAGGTCGATCGAGTTGAGGGTGGTAGGACGGCTGGTTTCGTGGTTCGAGGAAGGTCGGCCGGCTGACTTCGTGGGTCGAGGGTGGTCAATTGGGATGGGTGACGGCGGTGGGGGTTGGCGGCGCCGGTGGTGGCTGGTTAAGATTTTAGGGATTTTTCATTTTTTTAATTTTTTTAATTTTTTTTTAAGTTTTTTTTTATAAAATGTTTTTTCTTTTTTTTTAATAAATTAAATTATTAAATAATTAGAAATGGGCCCCACTAACGAAAAACTTAACGGAACATGGACGGAGGTACTGAAATCTACAGTTTTGTGTTTTTGGAGGTACTAATTTAAAATAAAATTTTAGATGGGTACTAAAATTCAATTACCCCCATATTCGAGGTACTAAAATTCAAATTTTCCTTTCCATTATTTACCAATTGTTACTATGTAGCGAATTGGTGGGTTTTTCTCTCGATTCTCGAGTTTTCCACGGTAAATCTATCCTCGTTTTCTTAAAGCTTGGTTGATATTTAATTGTCTTCATAAATTTATTCCTTATCACACGGCTTGATTTGCTTTACAAAGACAGTGACGAAGCAAAAGGCAGTCAAACTTGTTCAAATCCACTATAGTATAAGTTTTGAGATTGATCTCCCAAGGCAAAACTAGTTAACAACTTTTAGCACCATGAGGTTAATTCCCTCAACAATCAAATCTCTTGCAATCCCTTATCGAAATGTCATTGTTTCATCTCTTTTCCTTTTGTATTTCTATAAGAACTAGATTGCACTCGTACTGATGTTCATGAAATTAGAGCGATTAAACTCCCTCAGCTCACATTTAATGAAACACTACCAGGAATGGCAGGAACAGGGTAGGCATTGAACTTGAACCGAGCATGCTCCCACGTGAGCAACTTCGCTGCATACTAATGTATCTGAAAAGCTAGTGTCATATTCTGAACTAGAGAAAGATCAGGCCAGGTTCATGATTTATCCTTACTTATCAAACAAGGCAAGAGATCACAGCAATTATCTGGAAGATTAAGATACTAAAGATATCACATAATAATAATAGTCTGCAGATTTCCTTCAGTGTAAAAGTTAAAGGGGGCAAAGCAAAGAGTGAAGCCCGAGGAAAACGAATGCAACTCTGGAGGAAAAGGAGAGGATTTTATGCACGTACTAGAAGAGCCAAGTACTCCTTAAAATGAGCTCCTTTTGCCATTTCCTATCAAATAAATATCAACTCTCAAAGTCCAAAGTCATCCAATTTGCAATACAAGCTGATGGAAAGGTACTCAAAGGTACCCAAAAAACCAGAGGTGGTATACATTTCCACCAGTAAACTATAACATTAAAACGCTTCTTTGGAAACATGTATCAACAAGGAACAAAACAGCTGGGGAGTATGAAAGTCACTAAAAAAAAAAGTAAATTCTGAAAGATTAGTATACAGCCAGCATCCAGCTCCAATTAGTTTTGTGATGTTAATAATCATCACCTCTTGATACAACTTCTTTGCAAGTAGGACGAAGTAAGATTGTATGTTCGAATTGAGACACATAACTTCCCTTCACGTCACACAGAGGGGGGTACGGCTGCAAAAATGTAGGTTCTCATATAAGGTTTTCAACAAGATAGAACAGTACACAAGTATAATGCAATTAAACGAGGAAAATAATATTTGATTAAAAATAACCACAAAAGATACAAGGAGATTTACGCTTTGTTTGGATAGCAAAGAAGGAAAAAAAGAAGGGGAGGGAAAATGGAGGAAGGGAAGGGAAAAGAAAGGAAGGGGGAGGTGAGCTCCATTTCCCCTCCAAATCTCTCCAATTTTGGAGAGATTATGCTTATTAAAGAGAGAGTAAAAATGGACCCCTCCCTCTCCTTCCCCTTCCTTCCCCCAATCCTTTACCCAAACAAGAGAATTTGTCCCCCTCCATTTCTCTTCTTTTCTTTTCCTTCCATTTCTTCTTATCCAAACAAAGTGTTAGAGTAGGAAACAGCTAAAGTAGTTCTCTTCAATGAAGGAAAATCAACATGGTTGTGGAAGATAAGACCAAAGTGATGGATGGAATTGATATAAACTCATTTCTGTTTGTTTTATTCAATATATTGGTTTAGGTTCATAAATTTACTCAACCAAACCCACAATTGAAATTAGATTGGCTAGGTAAGCTTCTATCAAAACCAATATATATGCATGATAAGGCCATACGATTTAAGGGAAAGAAGTTGAAACTTATTCTAATTCTCAAATTTGAATTACTGGGTCTTGTATGAATTACTCAACAAAACAAAGTTAAATTAAAGCAAACATGAACAGATTTGATCAAAATTATTTCTCGTGCTAGTTTTACATGTAACTTGAGGCTTCCAAAAACTCCAAAGTAAACAGTATAAGTGTACAACACATACAGACTGCCAAACATGATGAGCAATATTTTTCAAAAACAAATTGATGGTGTAAGCAATTTGTTACCTGAACAATGCCAACATCGCACAAATTCTTTAGTCCCATCAAGTATTTAGTCTCCCCAAGGCGGTCCAAATATCGCCTGCAGAAAGCTAGTGTAGAGAAGTTTTTATCAATTGTCGCCAATAGCTGCTTTGCTCTAGGTAGCCGCAATGGGACATGCCCAATATCAAAGTTCTTCATGTAGTGGCTGCACTCCAGATCTTCTCGGACATACCCTTTACCTGTATGCAGCAGATTAGAAGCCATTATGCAACTACCACTAATTATCTAGAATGTAGCCCAATTCCACCTCACAAGCTTATACCAAGTTCTCAAAAGCAAATGAATTCTGTAGGTATGAGAATGCTACCTGTCGATCCAAATGTTTCAATAGCATAAAATTCACCCTCCTCCATCTTTGTCTGCTCACCACCCTTCACAATAGGGACAGACTTTCCAGCATGGATCTGATACTGGCCAATGCTATGTCCATTTAGGTTTCGAATACTTTTAACTGCAAGTTAAGACATAACTTTCAAAACTAATGAAAAAAACACAATGTGGAAGGCCCCACAAGGCCACAACTATATATACTTCTCAGATTATTTCATAGAACATCAGAAAATCAAATGGTCACACATTACAAATGACACAAAAATACAATGCAAAGTACTGTCACAATGTGTGAGCTAATCTAAGACCAGTTGAACTGACAATGGCTGAGCCATGAGACTCTGGAGTCAACAACTACAGCAAAGAGTTTATCAACTTCTTAAGAAACAAAGCAGCTAGGGAGAAGTAGAAACTAATCCCTCAGATTTTTAATAAATGACACACTAGCTTCCGGTCGGAGTGTTAGGAGATTTATATAGGGTGTATAGTTAGAGTGAATTGTTGGAGAATTAAATATTAGAATGTGAGAGGAGAGAAATAATAAAGTATGTAATACTGGGGAATCGGAAACCAAGAGAGAGATATAATTAGAAGTAGCAGAATGTTCCCAATGGGAAGTATGTCCCTTGAAAAACAGAGATTTAATAAAAGTGTTTTCACTTAAACAAAATGAAGGGAGCATCTTTTAAGATCCATTGTTGGTCACAGGCTCAAAGCTGTGAGCTGTGAGCTGGCCCATTTAATATAAAATAAAAAATAATTCAAACCCTATATTGGCCTAAACAGAATGACAACTTAAAGAAAAACCCACCTACAATGGGAGGTAGCCAACTAGCCATTAATAAAAGCATAAGGAAAAAATACGCAGCAAGAGCAATAAAAGCCAAAGATTCACTTCAAACATGTACACCTCAATACTTCATCTCACCTTGATAAACTTTGCCATTAATTTCGACCTCATATGACTCCATTACTTCTTGGATAGCAGCCCCAATATCACAAAGACGTACATCAATTCCAGCTTCCTAGTATATAGCACAAAAAATAGTTTGAAATTCCTTTTCATTCTCAAAATGCGCACAAATATTAACTTTCTGTAAATATCTAATACATACTTCCTTCGTTTTATTAGTTGTTCCGTTTTAACTGTTGACAATATTCATCCACTTCACTTTGACCATCATTTGCTAATTATACATAATGAAAAACAAAGTTATATTTGATTTCTTTAGGTTCTTCTTGATATATATATTCAAATATATACTCCCTTCGTCCCTTTTTAGTTGACATGGTTTGACTGACACAAAGTTTCAGGCATATAAGGTGACTTAAGTCCCTCTATCTCTCACACATTAGTTTTAGGCATAATTAGTTTTTACACTTTTATTTTTCAAGAGACCCTAGTATTACTTTAATACCCGTCTTTCCACTACCAAAAAGGCAAAATTAATTATGAATTGTTTTTAAACTTTAATGTTAGATTCCATATGTATTTATTTATTTATTTTATGTGATTGATTCCATATGGGACTATCAAATGGAAACGGAGGGAGTAATGCAGTAAGTGGGTTAGGGGGATCATTACTTTTGCTGGTGGGAGGCAGGGAGGGGAAGTTAATTTAAATTGTTTTCATGGAAGTTGGGAAAAAAGTGGGACCCTTAAAGTGTGAGAGAAATTATATAGAATTGATGGACCATTCTTTTTTAGGAAAAGAAAAATAAACTAAATAGGGATGGCTATACAAGGAAATGTACCAACCATTTGGGACATAGGGAGTAAATTTTACAAATTTTACGATTAAACAAATAAAGATACTAAGGATCAAATTTGTTCAGTGTCAAATGTGCAAAGACAAAATGAAATAACTAAATAAAAATAGAAGTACATAATATAAGATGTAGCATGTACCTTAATCCCTGTATTGGTTGCTTCACGTGTAGCCTCTAATAGTGGATCATACATGGGATTAAATGCTACGGTGAAAGCACAATCAACAATGTATCCTGTGTTACAAAAGTGAAAGGAGACGTCTTTATCATCCAACAAATATAACAGTCACCTGTGTTTCCACATTGACAATATCATATAACTAATATATAAAGCTAAACTTTTAGCCAGCGAGACAGTGACACTTGACGTTCTAACTTTTCGCCAAGTGTCGCGCCATGTTGGATAGATTTAGATAGACTTTATAGGATAAAAAAAATTAGTTAGAATATTATTTTCAATTAAATTTGGATAGAGTTTTAGGATAAAATTGTTAATTTAGATTTTATTTTCGATAAAAGACCAATATTTCAGATGTACAAATTGAATTATAACCTTATTCAAAAAATATTTAAGATTATAATTCTCAAAAATAATTATATAATTTTATTTTTAATATCATAATATTTTTTGGAGCGAAAGAAATAGTTCAAAACATAAAACATCCAATTCTAATCAATTGCATTATACTAAAGGCGAAACTTAGAGAACACTTGGCAAAATATTATAAAAAGTTTTCCCTCCAAAACCACTTACTAAAAAAATAAATTACTGTAATTAAATTATGACTTTTAGTTTGTATAAAATTTAAAATAAATGTCCTAACAAAACAAATTGCCCATCATAACTATTATATGTTTAATTAATTTCTAAAACAATATTTCATACTTTTTACTACTAAGTCTATTTATAATATTTATATCCATTATTTTAGGTAAAATTTATTGTCATTAGAATTATTTAACAACCGTGCATTGCACGGGGTTTAATCTAGTATATGTACTAATCGGTTAAAATAATATACTTCACAATCTAATAAAATTTTATTAATATAGACCTATATCGGACCGGGTCACAAAGGTTACGGCCAAAAAATGTTCAACCCTTACCCAAAGTTTTGGGTTCGGGTCAACCCAAATTCCTAAAAGGCTTTGAACAATGTTTTTATGCTAATTTTTATTTTTTTTATGTCATTTCATGCCTATTAGATAACAAATCGTCACAAAAGCATATCAATCGCTAACTTATTTTGTATCAATATATTTTAAAATTTGACAAATAGATTTAAAATGTATCTTAAATATTACAGAGTAATAAACAACCCGGGCATCGTACGGAGCACAAAACTAGTATGAAATTAAAGATATCCAAGTAGAAATAGGATATTGAATAAGTATTACCATCGATATGAGTTCCAAAATCTAATTTCATCACATCATTCTCCCCTAGCACAGTTTTGTCTCCAGAATTTGGTGTCCAATGGGCAGCAACCCTAATGAGCAACATAATATATCATTATTTCTATAAATAACAATAAATGCTGACAACTGAAACTATGTTGCCTAAAATATTACCAATTCAAGGAGCAACCAGTAGGAAAGGCAATGCCAGCATGCAGTCCATTTTCAGATATTAATCTACGAACTGTATCTTCCAAAGTTTCACAAATGTCTGTCATCAACATCCCTGGCTTCACAATGCTTCTGATATATTTTCGAACCTAAACATATAAGAATCCATTATAATTCTATAGAATACTCAGCACTTAAAGCCAAAATAATAAACCATATATTTTAGTCCTTGATGTAGGCTGAGAAACCTGGCGATGAACTTCAGCCGCTTGGCGAACTGAATTATAAATGGGCTTTTGAAGACGCTCCAACTCTCTCTTCTCTTCTGATGTTACCCTCCATAAGTTGCTACAACATAAATAAGTTACTTATTTGATATCAACCATGAGGCTGAAAGCAAGTACAATGGAAATTACAGCATAATAGAGAAACACACTTGTATAATAGAATTCGTAGCAATAACATAGATAAATAAACAAATTACAGAACAAGGGTAAAAATTTACAGGCAACTCCAAAAGACGGCTAAACCATACCACCATCCTATTTCATTAAAGAAACTAATATCATCCTCGTGCTTCCCACGAAATTTCTACCCAGAGTGTCACAATGACGGCTTAGACATAGATAACCTTAGGCTGCAATAATATAGAAACCTTTCCATTACACTCTTAATTGGAAAATTATAGATTGACACTTGGACTGAACATGGCATGGCCCCCTCCCTTCCAAGCAAACAAAGAAAAAAGCAAAATGGAAGTTCTTTTCACACTGTGTTAAACAATAAGTATCCTAGTCAAATCTTTGAAACTAGCACCTAATGAAAGCCTAAACAAGTGTTTGATACACTACAACAAGCAAGCTGTGCCAATAAAAAAAACTACCAAGAAGATGAAGTTCAAAGATTTCTTCTAACACTAGGCTTGCCTTTTTTTTTTTTTTTTTTTGGGTGTTTAGAGAGCCACAAGGACGGGTGATGAGAAACGATCCCAGTATCACCTGGAATCGGGAGGGGAGCTCTAACCACTTGAGTTCCCCTCACTCTCACACTAGGCTTGCTATGATAGTTCACTTTACTTGGTTACTTTCACTTCTAGTAAGTGGGTTCCAACAAGCCTATTTAGACTATAATGTCATTTTTTCCATAATCCTTCCTTTCCATCCCATAAATTTAACTCCTCATCGAGTTACAAAAGAAGAAATAAAGACTTTTCCTTATGTTGGAATGGTAGAATTTATCTAGACTGCTAGTCATATTAAAGCTGAACAAAACATTATCTTATTGCTTCTCCAAGCTTTCTCAAAAGTCCAACCATCCACAATACTCCAAATAGCATCTCAACAACAGTGCATTTGGATTTCTCTAAGCCAATCTAAAGCACTGAAAGTCTAAAAGCAAAATTTGGTTCAAATTCTCAGTGAAAATTCTGCCTTTAATATGTCTGTGTCACTAATAGTATCTCTTAGCCATACAAAACCATTTCCAGAATATAACTTGCACCATCAAGGCATCAAAAACTTAATATCATCCTTAAGACTTGGCTGATATCAATATCATGCTTAGGTCTTAGCACCCTTTAAACTATGAGGAGCCAAACTATTACAAGTTAATTATGATAAAAATTACAAAATTTAAGCTAAACATATGAAGAATGTAGAATACCACAACACACAAAACACTGGAACACCAATCCAGCCACAATATATCATAGTATAATGAGGAGAAACTTAGTTTGAAGAAAACAAAATCCAAATGTACACATTTAAAAGTTCAAGGAATTTATATCATCAAGTTGGTATATCCACATATTGCATATTGAATAGTGTACAAGCACTTCCTGGTAAAGTCCTTACTCATCTTTGTACTGCTGAATTTCACCCTCTGGAAACTCCCCGGATGAGAAAAGCTGAAGTACAGGAATGGATGGGGGATCTGTTTGCTGGAGTGCCTGGGCGGCTTCTTTCTTTTTCCTGAACATAATTGATAACAAGTCAGTCCTACAGTTGACATGCAGAAATTAGTAAAAAGTTGCTGACCACTCACTTGCTTTTATTTTTCTTCTTCTTCTTCTTCGCAACTTCTGGCCAATGGGTAAATAAATACAGTTAATTTCATTCAAAATTATTTCAGCGAGCAAGTATTTAAACATAATACAACAGATAAAAAATCAGGACTGTTCAATGCCATGCATTCTTTGTTTAGCAAAAAGTTAAGAAAGTATGGATTGTAAGCAGGGCAGGACTTAAGTACATTATCCTCCCAAACAAAAACGGAGTATGGAAGCAATGTAACAATACAACACACCGATTACAAGGGGTACAAGTAGGACAGTAGATGAGACCTTTTGAGAACTGCTTTAAATTTAAACATATTTAAAGAGTTTACTCCCAATCATTGCACCTCGAATGAAACTTAAAACCTTGCGCAATGGCCCAAATCATCCTTCTGACTAATCTCATGATGGTGCAGTGGTGCCCCATTGATCCAAACAACCCCCAGCTTAACAAAGGCCCTAAGGTAATTCATCCCACCTCCTTTTTCCTATACCACTCTTCAAAACCAAAATAATCAAAAGTCAATAGTTAACAACACTTCAAGAAAACCAAATTACCAACACTGGAAATGATCAAATTTGCACAACATTCTTAACAACTTTCACCACCAAAAATTCAAATTTGCCAGTCCCCTTGGAACATGAATTAAGAGTATAATTGCTTATAAAGTTCTTTACTTTACCCCTAGAAAACAGGTGTGGGCAAATCACTAATGGAACCCAGACAGGTGTATTATACACAGCCTATATAGAACAGGTGATTGTCAACCACTCCACAACTTCGGAGGTAGCTCAGCTAAACGGCCTAGTCCAACTATTCTGTCATTCCCCTAAACTCTCCAAAACCAACATCCTTAAAAGACCCACTTAGACAATGATATAGCAATGCTGCTTTACCCACCCACTCAACCTGTCTTTCATTTGACATTACTGTTTAGTTTGATAATAACAAGACCACCCTTTTGATTATAGTAACCAAAAAAGACCCCAGATTGGGAAACAAAAACCCATTAACGCGTACCACATCCCAAGTTTCGATTCCAATGAGTAGGTTCTCAAAGGTCACAAATACAACCAAAGAAAAGCTGATGATGAAGGAATAACAACTTATCACTAGCACACTTCATAATATATATCCTAATCCTCCCAAACTTGAGTCACCCAACTACAAAACAACATATGGGTAGACGTAAGACAACCGTTTTGATACTCTTACTCCCTTACAATGTGGTTTCAATTCTTCAAAGCACATCCTCCAATCGTGTCAAAAAAAAAAAAAAAAAAAAAAAAAAAAAAAAAAAAAAAACCCCTCCAATACCACCACTAAAACCCCAATATTTCTTAAAAAGCTGAGAACTTTAATGTGCATCATTCCAAACTAATAAAACAAGCGACACATTGATATTAATACACAATTAAGGAACCCTAACAAAAGAACATTATAATTACAACATTACAATATCATAATTAACATTGCAATAAATTCCCATTACCTCCTTTTTGTTCACCAGATGGTTCAGCACCATCATCATTATCATCATCTACAGCTTCAGAATTTTCCCCATTAACAATCTTAGGGTTTGAATTAACTTCATTACAATCATCAATAGTGGGTTTTTCTTTTTCTTCCACTGAAATATCCATGCCGGAATTCTCCTTCTCCATTATACAAATACCTAAATTGGGGTTACAAAAACCCATTAAAATCAACATTCAAGCAATCATTCAAATCATCAAATCATATACTTCAATAATATGACATGGTCCAATTTTGTTATTAAAGTTTACATCTTTTTGGGTTTGTAAAGGTATTGAGCTCAATCCAAAATACAGAAGAAATAGTAGAGAAAGAGAGAGAGAGAGAGAAACCTGATGAAAGAGAAAAAGGAAGAGTCTTGTTGTTGATGGTGAAGAGTGCAGCAGCGGCGTAGCCCAGAAAAGGGAGAAGATATAGGAGATGGAGTCGACGGGAAGAGAGAGAAATGCTTTTTTTTTTTTGTCAAGTTTTTAACTTTCAAGGGTTTATGGTAGCCAAAGACAAACTAGACTAGTGAAACTAATGTGGGCCGAAGTTGACATGTGTAAGAGGTTCCGACCTGTTAGGACAACTGTACTTGGAGTTACGGTTTGGTTTCTCATCAATTTGACAAAATAAGTATGTCATCATATCACTCACATAGTCATATACGAAGTACAATTTATGATAAAATTAAAAATAAGTTTAGATACGCTAAGATGAGATGATACTCAAATAAATTCATTTAGTGTATAAAGTAAGTTAACAAGATTTCATGCAAATCAAATTGAATCTAAGGCTAAATTTCATACAAAACCAAATTCAACCAAACAAAGCCTTAATTCATTGGTTAATTAATTGCCTTATTGTTTTTGTTGTTCGTGAACAATTTCAAGAATCAACACTTTTATCACATTATCATTATGTAAGGATGTGTTTTGTTCATTTGAAAAGTTGATCAAGTATAATCAAATACAGATATAAGGTGAATTTGGGTTAATTAATAAGTATTAAGTAACATATAGCCTTTGTTCACTTCACCTTAAAAATAATTATATTTAGTAAAAACAATTTCATTTCAATAAAAATAATTTTTTATCGGTAAAAATCGATCAATTTTTAAAGCAACTATAATAAAGAATTAGGCCATGTTCACTTCACCTTTAAAAAAATAATATTTAGTAAAAATAATTTCAGTTCAATAATAATAATTTCAGTTCTGTAAAAATAGTTGCAGTTCAGTAAAAATAATTTCAATTCAATAAAAATCAGTAACTATAAAGAAGAAATATAACAGAGAATCAGTAAAAATCATTTCTATTCAACAAAAATAAATTCACCAGTAAAAATTATTATAGTTTGGCAAAACTAATTTTAGTTCAGCAAAAATAATTTTAGTTTAGCAAAAATAATTTCTATTATATTTATTTTTAACATTTACTGAGTTTTACTAACTGAAATCATTTTTACTAAACTGAAATTATTTTTGCTTAACTAAACTTAATTTTACTAAACTGAACTTATTTTTGCTGAACTTAATTTATTTTTACTGAATTAAAATTAATTTTATTTTAGAAGTGAACAAAGCCTTGATCCCTTAAGACCATGTTCTTTTGAGCTTCTGGACAGAGCAGATTTCAACAGAGCGGAGCAGATTGAAGCAGAGTGGGGCAGAGCAGATTTCATTATTATTATTATTATTATTATTATTATTATTATTATTATTATTATTATTATTGATAATGATACTACTACTACTTCATCTATTATTAATAATATTATCGCAGTATTATTATAATCATTAAATATTATTATTAAATATTATTATAATTATTATTATTATTAAATTATTATTTTTATTATTATTATTAAAAATTAATAATTAATAATTATTATTATCTTTAAATGTTAATTTTTATTATTACTATTATTATCATTACTAGTTTTATACCCGTGCGATGCCCGGGTTGTTTATTGAGTTTTAAGATATATGTCAAATTTTAAAATATATCATTGATACAAAATTATTTAAGAATTGAAGTGTTGTTGTGACGATTTGCTATCTGGTAGGAATTAGTGGAAATGTTCGATTTAATACATCAAAAAAATAAAAATAAAAATAGCAAAAAATAAATAAAATAAAATAAATATTCAAAGCCTGTTGGGTTGACCCGGCCTGAACCCAAACTTTGGGCAATGGGTTAAACATTTCGTGACTCGTAACCTGAAATAACTCAATTTGAGATGACTCATGACCCGATTCTAATTGACAGAGCTACATGGTAATAAAATTCTATTAGATTGTGAAGTATATTATTTTAACCGGTATTGATGTTTTACACTTTGAACTACTTCCTTCGCTGCAAAAAATATTATAATATAAAAATTAAGTTTATATGATAATTTTTGTGAATTATAATCTAATAATTTTTTTGAATAAAATTATAATTTAATTTGTACATCTGAAATATTGGTATTTTAACGAAAATAAAACTTTAAACTAAAAATTATATCCTAAAATTCTATCCAAATAGAAATCTAAACTAACTTTTTTATCTTAGGAAATCTATTTAAATCTATCCAACGTGGCGCAACACTTGGCGAAAAGTTGAAATGTCAAGTGTCGCTGTCTCATGACCTGGCTAAAAGTTTAGCTTTATTGTAACACCCTCGATTTACTAACCAATAATAAACAATAAATAAAGGAAAAATAGACAACCTTCAAATAAAATTTGCGGAAGCATACACCTAAATCGGAGGTATTACCGCCACACTCAACAACCTGTTGAGTGTTAAGGCTTACAAAAATCTCAATAATTACAACCCAATAAATCTAAGTGATCGATCTATTTATGCAACTTTACAAACTGGTTATAGCATACTAATCGAAACACTTGAGCTCCTTTAGCTACAATCACTTGATCAACTTGCTTAAACAATCTTGACTGTTCACCATTAAGGACAAATTCCAAAATAGATCGTCGCAGGGCCACCATAAGAAAAAGACATGGCCGCAAACACAAGTAGCACAACAAAATAACACACACGTCAGCAAAAGCTGAGTAATCACCACATATCATAATATAGAGTATAATTGAATAATTGACAATACTAGCTCAATTAAACAATGTAGTTGAAACTACATTACACATTGTACTCTGAAAAATAACCTTTATCAACTAAACCTTGAATAATAATACGAACCTTTACTCAATCAACTAATATAACCCATAAGTGTGTCATGCTCTTTGTTTTATACCTAGCCTTGGACATGAGTAATTCGAATAACAAACCAACAAATATAAAAATTTGAATACTCTCAATAACCAGAAAACACCTTAAACCAGACCACGTACGGGCCAATTCCCACTGTAGGGGACCATATAAAAATATAAATAAATATTGTACCTCATTCTTAACTCATGATTATCATCTGCTTACCAACATGCCAAGGGCTAAGATAAAACGCTGAGCCTCAAACCAAAAACAAACACAATAATTCTCAACCTTTTAATCTCATACATCGATCAAATAATTATTCATAAACAATCTCAACAATGGCACATGTTCCCAAATAACATAACAATTCAATTAAAAAACATCTCAACTCTTAGGAAAATAATACTAGCACCCAAAAATAATTAACTCGCAACCCAAAAATAATACTCTGCATTAATAACCCCAAAACCTCGATAAAACAATACTCCCTATGGAAACAACAATAGAACCCTAGAATAAAACATAATCAATCATAAACAATAAAAGTAATACAATACTCATATCCAATCAAATCATATAATACCAATAATCAATCATATATATATATATATATATATATATATATGTACACACACACAAACTTGATCACACGAATTACAAATTATAAATTTTACACATAATAATAATAAATCATATCACACATAATAATACAAAATAAATTACAAACATCTCCAAAGTTTCGTGTGATTACCTTCGACATATTACAATCGAACTACATACATGTAGTCAAGGCAAGAAATAGATGGAGTTATAATGAACTTGACTCCTTTCTACTGATCACACCATGCAAATCATCATCTAAGGGCCTGTTCTCATTTACTGAATTCAGCTGAATTGAATTGAACTGAGCTGAACTGAACTGAGCTTAACTGGACTGAACTGAATATTTTATAAGGCCCTGTTTGATTCACCTTAATTTTGCTGAACTGAAATTATTTTTACTGAATTGAACTTATTTTTACTAAACTGAACTTAATTTTACTAAACTAAATTTTTTTTTACTGAACTGAAATTATTTTTACTGAACTGAAATTAATTTTACTGAACTAAACTTATTTTTACTGAACTGAACTTATTTTTACTTAATATTTTTTTTTAAGGTGAAGAGAACAAGGCCTAAGAGAAGGAAATTAGGAGCTGAACTGAACTGAACCGAGCTGAGCTGAACTGAACTGAACTGAACATAACTGAACTGAACTGAACTGAACTGAATTTCAACGTAAGAGAACAGACCCTAAAGCAATTATTAAGGTGATGGATAATAGAGAATGAATAAAAGCTAATAAGAAAGAAACAAATTTGGCTTTGATAGATAACCACATACTTCCTCCGTTCTATTAATATTGCAACAATGGACTTTTTGCACTATTCATCACTCTTGTTTGACCATATAATATGAGTTATACGTTAAGTAAAATATAGTCAAGTGGGATCTTGTTAGATTCGTCTCATATAATACTTTCACAATATCAACTTTTTATAATTTTTACTCTTACACAATTATAGATATTTAGCATATAAAATGTGTTTTGGAATGCGTAATTTCCTCCTTGTTGCAATATTAACAGAACGGAGGAAGTATAATTTATGGGAAATTGGAAAACAACTGTGAGTCTTTTTTTTTTTTTTAAGTCTCAAAGCAACAACTTCATATTAAATAGGGTTTAAAACTTTCTGAACTCTAATTTTTTTTTTAAAAAGGTGAGATTAGGAAAGTTATTTAATAAATAAAAATATATTTTTTTCTATAAAATATATTATATGAAATCATAAAATATTCGGGTATTACATTTATATATTAGTTATATGATTATTATTAAATATTAATTATATATTATTATTAAATATTAATTATTGTTATAATAATTCAATATTAAGTACTTTTTCCCTTTTTTTTTATTGCACCATGAGTGATTTGAAGAACAAGTGAATAGTGTAAAAGTTCTAATGGTGCAATAAAATAAAAACGGAGGAAGTATTATTTTGAAGCGAGGAGATTGAATATAGCTAAGCAGCGGGGCGTAAGTGGCTAGAAACGTTAATCGTGTAAGTTTGGACCGCGAGTGTTCCTCTGAAATTGTAGGCAATTTCTGTGACTTGCTCGGCAAACTGGGCATTCCAACTTCTTCATTCGCATTCCATAGCTTAGGTATTGTATTTTTGTAATCTTATTATCAGAATTTCATCTCTTTGTTTCTTGTTTCTTGTTTCATTTTTTTTTTTTTTTTTTTTTGTACTTTTGAATACAACATTAGTTTATCAATGAAGAACAACTGCATCACAAATGGCAATAAAAATAAATTAATTTTGGACTTTGAATTTTCAACTCAGATTTTTCATATTTTGGGTATTACTATTAACCCAAATCATCAAATGGTTTGACGGAAAAAGTAACAAGACTGTAATAGACCACATTTGATTTGATTATTGGTCAATTTTATAGAATTTGCTCGAGATCTTGTAATTGTATTTGATAATTTATACAACGGTTAAGAACAAGCATTTTATTCTGATATTAGGGTTCTAAGCCTTTAAATGTATGCCAATGTGGAAAATTTCATTATTAAACTTGTGATATTCAAAGATTGGCATATTATTTTGTAACATCCTAAAATAGAAATTCAGCCTAAAATTGAGAATTTGGGATGGAGGGCATATCTATAAACAATTAAACATTGTGATTTATAGATTATCAAAGTTCTCTAATTTGTTGGTAATGCATGTATTAGAAGCTGTTCTTCAATTTTCACCTTTCTTTTTGGTGTTGTGGGAGTGAAAGTTTGAAACTTTGGCGTGTGAAAGATAATACCTTGGATTATACAATAATCAATGCTTTACAGAATGGATTGTTCTCCATCAGATGCACATGTAAACAATTACAAAACAGTGAGTGGTGTGGATTGGTTAATGAAAGCACCATTATCTCTAGTTGATGATTAAACTGGCTATTGTTTCATGCGGCACAGGTTGCTTTGTTGCCGAATTTTCAATTTGAGAGGCCTGCTATATGAACACAAATGGATAAACATACTAGATATTGAGACATCAGTATGGTCCTGCTGCTGCTAGTTTAGACTAGCTTAGATATGGCACATAATTTAAAACTTAATGAGATGATGCAGTTTCTTTGGAAGAGAAGTGTGGCTCCTGCTTTTGTTTCAAGATGTAGGAGCTTTAGTAGCGGAGTTACTGGAAATGGTAGCTCATTGTTTTCTGTCATGAGTTTTGGGGATGGCAGTCAGGGAGCTCTGGGCTTGCCGTCTTCCTTGATTGGTGTTGGGGCTGATGCTTATGAACCAACTGTGGTACCTGGGCTCCCAGCTGATGTTGTGAGTGTGAGCGCTGGGCATTATCACTCTCTTGCTGTGACAGCTAAAGGAGAGTTGTGGGCTTGGGGTAGAAATGATGAAGGTCAGCTCGGTAGAGGTCTTCTTGAACCCAGGTTAATCACTCCTCTTCCTTTATACATATAATACTTTTTAAATGTATGTATTCATTTATATAAATGTTGAGCAAAATTTAACATTGCTATTGTGAATGAATTTTGTGAAGCAATTACCCCTTGTTGGACAGCTCTGTCATACACTCATACTCGTCTCATTATGCCTTTTCTACTCAAGTTCATTTAGATGTAAAGTTTATTCTGTGTTTTTTTGTGGTTAGTGATTAACAAATATTTGTGAAAGTAGGGTGGTGGAAGAGAGAAATAATAAGAAAATATTGCAAATATAATGCAACAGATGTATAAGGAAAGTGTTGCGATTATTACGAAACGAAGGGAGTATTAGTTGTTTTTAGTTTATAAAACTACCAAAAAGCTCTTTAACAAAGCTCCTAACCAAACACCCCACTAGAGCTTTTTGAAATGGTCAAATAGCTCTTTTTGCTCCAAAAAGCTATTTATACTCCAAAAAGCTCCTAACCAAACACCCCTTAAGTCTTCCATTCTTTGAAGTCTTCTTACAACTTGGACTTAAAGTCCGCAACCCCAACCATTCACTTCACTTCTTTCTTTTGCTTTTTTCATAATATTAATATTATTACTAACAATAATATTATTACTTAGCCAATTCTGTGATATTTTTCCTTCTTTCCTTTTCATTTCTTATAACATTAGTATTAACTAACAATAATAATATTACTTAGTTAATTTTGTGATTTTATCCCAACCAGAAGAAAGAAGTGAACTAGTGAAGCATGGGGTTGTGGACTTTAAGTCCAAGTTGTAAGAAGTCTTTAAAAAATGGCAGACTTAAAGTTATTATATCGGTGTCATACCTAGTCTACTTGAGGTAGAAAATAAGTTCTTGATTTTGGGGTAGTAGCCTTTAGGGGTGATTACGATGCGAGTCGAGCTTGAGTATCACTAAGCTCAACTCGAACTCGATTGCTAAAACCTAAGCTCGACTCGAGCTAGAAAATTCGCAAGCTCAAAAAAAAAAAGCTTGAACGCAACTCAATTGGATATTGCTTAAGCTTGACACGAGCTCGAACTGGCTTGTTTAAAGCTCGAAATCGACTCAATTAGCTATTAGTTAAGCTTGACGTTGGATTTTGGAGATTTATGCTAGCCTGAGCTTTGAGGGGAGAGAGAAAGAGAAAAAGATAGAGATAGTACAGAGAGTGGCGGCTAAGAGGTATGAGGGTTTTGCGTTTATGGTTTTATTTTTTATTGTTCTGTTTTTACAACTTTTGAATCTTGATTGTCGAAGTGTTAGGATAAAAAGAGATCACTGGTTAAATCTTATGGTGATTACAAAAAATTATATTGTTATTATTTTTATCTTAATGCATTATACTTTGAAGCTAAGACATAAGAAATTAAGAGAATAATGTTAAAAACTTGTTTGAAGTGTATAAATATTTTTAGAAAAAAAAGTTAATCTTATCGAGCTTCTCACGAGCTTTCGTTTCGGGCTCGAGCTCGAGTCGATTGTTGACCGGACCGAGTAGCTTGCGAGCTGTCCCGTCTCATAAGCAGCCCTAGTAGCATTTAATATGCTAGTTGTTGTGCATCTTAAGGATTGAAGAAAAGTGGGAGGATAGGCATTATAAAAGTGTCGTGAATGTTGAAGGGAAAAGATGTAGAAGAAGTGAGTAAGCAAGAAAAAAATCAGCGAGTGCATCTCAGAGTTGGAGTGAGCACAAATCTGTTGTAGTAAGGGAGGACATGACGGAGTGACAAATACAATATTAGTGTGAGGGTATTTTTAGGGTTAGGATAAGTACCACTGTTGAGGGTACTAGTGTAGACTTTGTGAGGAGGGGGTTTTCACGTAAAATTCTTGTGTGTGTTTTTGTCATTCCATATTTTATTATTCTACCTGATATTTTGTTTATATGTTGCTCTATGTTAACATTCTTAGCACTTAATTCTCTAGACTATCAACATTGGGTTTCCTTTAGTTATGGTGTGACCTGAAGTTTGCTTGATTTGGTCGTTTCTGAAGTTTATGAGTATGTCCTGTATGTCCCCTTAGCCAAAATTATCAGATGAATTGGTTGATAGACTGGACCTATGGTGATATAGAACGATTTGCTTCTCTTGATCTAGACAATGCTCAAAAGGTCAAATCACATTAAGCTGTAGCTCATAGTTTGGAAGGCTGGCATGATTAGTTGAAGAGGTTTTGAAGATTGAAACAGTGTGATTTCAATCTCTATGGGCATATTTGATGATTAGGAATATGTGAGAATCTGTATGTTGCCAATGGTTTTCCGCCATCAATGAAAAGAGCATGCTATCTAATGCTGCAGAAAGAAAGGGAAGTCATTGGTGGTTTGAGCACCTATGTATTTCCTCTAATTACAATTATTTTATGGCTACTCTAGTGCTTGTAAGTGTGTGTTTTTTTTCTTATCTGGCACTAGAATTTTAACATATTATGGACACTGCTTTTAGATTTAAAAAAGACCTAGGTCCTCATATTAGTCATATATGTCCTGGATAATCACTAGGTTGAATGCTGGGACTTTTTGAGTCAAATCAAGGGTAATAAGTATAAAAAGGCTGAGGCTGGCTACATCTTTGAATGAGAAAATAATGCTGATAGCATGTAAGTTAAGTTTTCATCGCTTATAGGTGTTAAGTGTCTATTGGTAGAGAGCTACTTTCTAACCCTATGCCTTGTATCTCGATTCATAGAGAGCTACACGAAAGGGTGTTCATGAAAATTGGATATTGATCCCAAAAGATCTTGTTTGGAACTAATAGAGGACATGTGATTAGCTGTTTAAGTATCAATGTTTAGTGTATTATGATCCAAAAATTATTATCATTGATAAACCCCAAAGGTATTGGAATTCTCCTACCTAGCGCATAGTGCTTTATTTCCGTGATTGGAAGTGTAATATGTACTTATTAGATAACCTCGGTCACAAGTCACAACTTTAAGAGTCTTCATTGACTATGCCTGGGTGAGCCGTGAGCCTAGCTACTGCAGATGTAAAACATAGATAAAGAAGGATGTAAAAGATACCAATGTAACTTGATGTCCTGAACCAAAGCCAGATGTGGAAAATATTCATTGCTCCACGGCCCTCCACCAGTTAGTCCAGACCAACCTGTGTGCTCTGTAAGTATATGCTAAACATCAAACCTGGTGTCGGTTCACAAATTTTGAGAAATAGATAGGCTGTGCATTGCCTAGTTGCCTGTATCAGTTTGTTTGGACTAATGTGACATCTGACATAGCATCCCTGTGTGAGATTGATGCTAACAAACTACTTAATTTTAAAAGACCTGCCCATAACTTGTGCATTAATTTCATTAATCTCTGAATCTTGCCTTTTTCATAGTTTCTAACATTCTATCATAGTAATAATGTTACTTATTTACGTAGCAGATGTTCATGGAACGAACCAAAGCTGGTGAAAGAATTAGACAATGTGAAAGTTCAATCCGCATTTGCATCTGGGGTAATATCTGCTGCCATTGGTGATGATGGCTCTATATGGACATGGGGAAGATCCAAGCGTGGGCAGCTTGGGCATGGGAAAGGAATAACAGAGTCTCTTGTGCCATCCAAAGTCAAAGCACTCACTGGAGAACATATAACCAAGGTGGTCACTATCTAATGCCTCTAAGGTAGAATTGTAGTCTATTATATACTGCTAGTTCTGTTAGTTTTTTTCCTTTTCAAAATAATTTCACTCAACCTTTCCATTCCACTTGGTGATTCCTGTATCTGCTGCATTTTTTTAAAAAAATTTGGGTCAGTTTGTACCACATTCCAAAACTCCAGGGGACTTGACCTGATTTCGGCACACCCTTTTAGGTATCACTTGGTTGGGGACATGTGCTTGCTCAAACAATTGATGGAAAGTTGTTTGGCTGGGGTTATTCAGCAGATGGAAGACTTGGAAGATTGGGAGAGACTGTCAAAGCCTCGCCCTTAGATTCAAGTGCAGAATTACCTGGAAGGCATGAGATGACCTCCTCTGAAGCCCTAGATGTTGCTGAGAAACTTGTCTTGGAAAGTATGGAGAAGGAAAAGGACATGCCAATTGTGTGGGAACCACATTTAATAGAAGAACTACATTCCATTTCAGTGACTGATATATCCTGTGGCCTTGATCACTCCTTACTCATCTGCCGTAAGCCATTTATACAAATTTCATTTCTATTTTAATGGTTACTTCTTCAGAATTGCCTAAATTAATATAAAATCTTAACAGGTGATAACACCATACTAAGCGGGGGCAGTAACATCTATGGTCAGTTAGGCAGAGAAAATCAAGGCCTAAGGTTTTTTCCAGTTGACATCAGCTTCCGTCCACTGTCAGTCGCATGTGGGCTAGGACATTCCCTTGCAATCTGTGAAATTCCTGCATCAGAGGATGGCAATGATTTCAGGAAAGCTGTATATTCTTGGGGATGGAATGGGAGTTCTCAGCTTGGAAGGCCAGGCCATGAGAGCAAACCATTAGCAGTGGAAAGTTTAGCCGAGGAGATTCCTACAGCTGTTTCTTGTGGCCGTGTGCATTCGCTTGCTGTCACTGGCAACGGGCAGTTGTGGGTTTGGGGTTGTGGTAAAAATGGGAGGCTTGGCTTAGGCAGCTCATTTGATGAATCAGAGCCAGCCTTAGTTGATATTGAGCAGTACAAAGTTGTTCAAGCTGTAGCAGGTTTTGATCACACTCTGCTCTTGGTTGCTGAATCATGAGCTAATTTGCAGGTTTTGGCATTTTGTTTTTGATTTCAGGAACTATTCAGAGGCTTGAATCGATTTGCTGCTTGGAGAAATCAATTGGTTATCGATAGCAAGATCAACCTTCCCTTCTCCTGACAGTCTTCCTAAACTGAGCCACACTTTTTTTAACTGTTACTGTCCCCTTGTCCTGCTTATACGATAGATGCATCATCATCTGTGCTAAGCATAAATCTTGAAGGTTTTAGTCTTGAACACATATTTTCCAGAAGAAGAATTTGCATTTAAATAGTGACTAGAAGGATGAAAATAGGCTAGAAAATTCTTCTACAAAGGTTTCTGATGCAAGGTTAAAGTTGATGCTTGATTTTTTTTTTTTTCCTTTCTCATTTAAGGTATTTCTTTTCATTGTCAATGAGAACAAACACTTCCAAAAATTCCTTTTGATTTCCTGACATAATGTTAACTAGAATCATTTGAGCAGGGTATAAAACACAATTTGAAGTGACGATTTATACAGGTAGGGATGGCAAAGGGGATGGGTATGATATCATATCTCCCATACCCACCTAAAATTTCTATACTCCGCCATGATAGGTACATACCAAATATCCCCACCCGCCTAAATGAGTATAAACCTCAATCCGCACCCCCTCTATTCTCCATTTGGATAGTATTGCCTATCGATTACATATTTACATCCCTATAGCCAGCTATTATTTGCCTATTGGAATCATTATTCCTTCATTTCTTATGTTGTATAAGTAAGATCAATGGAAATGCAGGGTGTAAACAAATAAATGTTAGTTTTAATAAACACTAGTATTCATCATTATTTTGACAAAGGAGTATTCATAATTATTACTTCCCATAGATTCAATTAATAGAACACTTTTTATTTTTGTCCATTCTACTACTATATTGATTGCAATATTCTAATTTGACATTGAATCTCTATATGTGCCGTTTATGTTTTTCCTATTGACCTATCAAAAATTAGTTATTGTTCTGTCTTTCTATCTATCTACACCCAACAACTAAATGACCCTGCTCCACATTATATCAAATATATTATTATAAGATTAACAACAACCAATTTAACAATTTTGTTTGTCATCGTTTTTTGTCTTTTTTTTTTTTTTCAAAATCAGGAAACAAGAAAAAGATGTGTTCACTTTTCTATTCATTTTAAGTGGGCCCACGTGCTGGACATTCTCGTCGGAAAATGCAAATGGGTAGTGCTACTCTAACTTTTTAAATTTAGGGGTAGTTTTTTTGATAAAATTTTTTAGTGGGTAGTTGTTTCCAAATACCCCTATTAAGCGTGTAGTTCCCGACAATTTTTCATTTTTTTGTCCTTTATTATTTTATGCCTATATAAGGAAAGATTAGGTACTATGTGCAAATACTGTTAAATCTTTTATTGTGTGCCATAAGATTGTGTTGCAACTCTTGTAAGTAAATAAACTAAAAAAATTATAAAATTTACTCCCTCCATTTTTGAATATTTGACACGCTTTGATTTTTGCAAACTTTTACCATGCATATTTTTATGGTTTTTTTTTTTTTTTTTTTTTTTTTTTTTTTTTTTTTTTTTTTGGAAAAATACATATTTTTTTGTTAATAAGTAAGATTAAAGATATTGGCAGTCAAATTTACAGAGTATGTATGATAAAAGTCAAAACAAGTTAAATATATGGGAGTGGAGGGTTTAAAAGAATACACATCAAAACGAATCAATCCACGTGAATAAGTTTTCCACTAATAATTTTTTAAAGATTTTCATATGAAGTAATTAAAGTTATCATCCCAAAATTTAATTTTAAATAGGACAAGCTAGCTAAAGAAGGTATAGTACAGATCAGAGTACTCTTTTTGTTTCGTAATAATCGCAACAATTTCTTTTTTCATATGTTTCGTAATAATTGCAACACTTACTTATTTGGTTAGGATTCTCACATTTTGTTATTTCTCTCTGGGTGATCCCCGGTTTTTCTTCTCAAGAAACATTCAATGTTTCTCTAATGGCAAGGATTGTAATTAAAAGCAAGTTTATCAGATCAATACATTATTTTTTTAGTTGCTAAGTCACCCCTCTTCCTCATCCTTCCTTATACACTAACCCCAACCCACTATTTCGGTAGCCATTATTGGTAGCTTTGCCGTTGAATTCTACGAAAACCCTAAGGAAAAAGTTGAGGAATAAAGGGCAGTCAACTCTAAAGGGTGTTTTTCGTTTTCTTGTGAGTTTCCTCTCCTCCGTTGGAATTGCTACATACTACATTAAAAAATTGAAAATTGATGAATCTCGATTAACATACGGAAATTGTGAAATTGAATTTCGATAAACATTGAAATTGATTACTATAATCATATTATAATCAGAAGTTGCTCCAATGGTGGAGGGACAGGGGAGAGAAAACACAATACTTGATTCAAACCTTCAATGGAATACTGAATTCTAAATTGTGAAAAATGATGAAAAAAAAAAATTAAAAATTACATAATTATCCTTATTTTATTAGTTGAAAAGACAATTTTAACTCCATGAGATACATTTCATGTTTATCAAGAATAGAAACATGGAATTACCTTTTCTATCTCCTATCAACCCTAATTAGTATACATTACTATGCTTTTTAAAATTTATCTCTCATACTAACTATGGAGTATTAAATAGACTCTTACTAACTATACTTCATAAGTTAAGTTTCGGCGCATAGCACCTATTGATTTCATCGTATATAGGATGACAATTTTGCAATTAATAAAACTATTCAGATAACTTATATTTTAGTGGTACATTATATATGCATAATGGTACATTTTAATGTATCACTAGATAGTTAGCTTTTTCCAAAAGTTGAAACTTTAGGATGTTAAAAAGTACCACAACACTCGTAATAGTCCACAAAAAGTACTATTCAGACAACTTATACTTTGCGGTACATTAAACATGCATAATGATACATTATAATGTATCACTAGAGAGTCAACTTTTTCTAAAAGCAAAAATTGAATCAGTAAAAATTACTTCCTTAGAGCAACTACAATGGTTGCCTGATTTATTTAATAGCTTGGCATGCCACATCATCTTCTTTAGCTACAACAATTCAAGCTATTTGTTGCTTCAATGGTTAAGCTAGTTGTAAATTAATTTATTTTTAATTAATAATATTTTTTATCTAATAAATATTTGTCAAGCTAATTAGCTCTACAAAGCTAATTTGCTTGCCAAAGCAAATTAACAAGATGTGCAACAATGGTGTAGCTACTAGCTTAAGATTTTTAATATTTGCAAGCTAGTCCCTTTTCCCAACCATTGGAGTTGCTCTTACCCTCTTATTTACATAGCTCTTCCATAGGTGCTATGCGCCTAAACTCACTCTAATTTATATAATAAAATTGCTTTTTTAGTCCCCACCTTATCATTTTCCTAAAACTTTATGTCCTCCCTACTATTGTGATTATTTCAAAAACGAAGGGAATACTAGAGCAACTAGATTACTCTCGTGTGATGCATGGTTGGAACAAATAAAATTTTCTAAATTTGTTTATTTTTTAATACCATTTTTTTTAAAGAAATAAAAAATTCCCAAACTAAATAATGTATCAAATATTAAAAATAAAATTTAGAGTTCATATAAAAATTGAATGACGAAAGGGCTTCATGAGGAAGAAAAATTAAATCAATCAATACTATATACTAAATTTATCACCATAAGTATTTCTAAAATACACGTGTTGCTTCCTCATTAAAATATTTCCCGCTAAAATTTTTTTTTTTTCTTTTTTTGTTCCTTAAGTTATTTTTCTTTAATATACAATCAAAACTACCACAACAACTTTGAATAAATAAATTTTCTTTTCTTTGCTTTAAAAATAAAAAAGAAAAGTGAGATAGATGATTGGTTATAATTGTACATTAGGATTAGAAAATCATCTATATATAATCCCTTAAATCTTCATGCTTTAATTTAATGTATAAAATGAATCGTTCATTTCCAACTAAATAAAGGATTCTATCTCAATTTTATATTTATAATTTGTCAGCGAAATATAAAAATAGAGATATTATGTATTAACGTGTATCATATATAATAATTTGATTACGTAAGCAATGTATACAAAAGCTATAAAAAAAATACCGAGTGCAAACTTAGAGTAATTTTTTTTAAAATATTTTTTTAAGTGAATATCTGAGTGTTGTTTAAGCAAAGAACTAGTTATTATTATTTGAGAGAATTGACTGTTATTCGAAAATTGATACTAATAATAAAACACAAAAATTTATTAAAATCTGATGTACAGTATCATTATTGTAAATCGGCTTGCTCGCACTAAAAACTTTCTTCATTTTCCGTTCGTTCCGCTTTATTCCCCTCTCTTTCTCTCTCTATAATGCTATAATATCTGCAATGGCAACCAACAAACGAACGAACGTCTTGATTTATCTTTCTACATCTTCTTCTTCCGATGATAATGGCGACGATTCCACATCTGCTCCATCGTCTAGGTATAGATTTTTTTTTTTTTTTTTGAAAATGATAAATTATTTGCTGAATTTGAAGATCTTTGTGAAATTTATTGAATTTGATTGATTTTTGTTGAAAATTTGGAAGAATGAAAAGTTTGAATTTGATTTAGTGGAGATGAATTCGAGTTGATTGATGATGACGATGACGATGCATGGAACTGAAGATGTTGATCTTTCTCTCGCTAATTGATTTGTTTGAGTGGGATTGTAGTGTTTTTTCATGACTATTGCTAATTTTGTGTTTATTTTTGTTGATTTTGATACGGATTACTCTGTTTTGCATATGTAACTTAATTACTTTCGTGAAAAAAAAAGGGTGACTTTTGTGGAAAAAAAGGTCACTTTTGTGAAAAAAGGGGTCACTTTTTATGAAAAAATGGTCACTTTTGGGAAATATGGGTCACTTTTGTAAAAGAAAAAGGGTCACTTTTATACAAAAAAAAGGGTCACTTTTCGCAAAATGTTCGATGTACAATAAAAATTATTGTAAACCGGGGGCATACAAAAGTTTTTGATGATAAAATAGCTGACTAAATTTTAGTAAAGTAAAATAAAAAATTGTAAAATGATGACATCATTTATAGTTTTGGATGAAATTTTTTTAATGACAACCTAACAAAGTTTTAGGCTATGACGATGTGATTCTTTATGTAATTTTTTGAATACAAAATATTAATATCGTGACAATATGAATAACAAATTTAATTACAAGAAAATTAAATCATAAATTAGTAAATTACAATGTATATTAATGATCAGTTAGTTTCATGTAATAACCCAGAGCATCGCCCGGCCCAAAAACTAGTTAATATTTAGAAAGAGAATAAGATATAGTTTTAGGAATTTAGTATTGTATTTTTTTTAAAATAAAAAAAAAAACTAATAAATTTAATTAGGTCCTCTTCTCTCCACCTTATTTTTACAAAGCTGAAATTAATTTTATTGAACTGAAATTATTTTTGTTAAATTATAATTATTTTTACTGATTAAAGTTATCTTTACTGATTCTAGAATTTATTTCTACTAAACTTAGGGGTTGTTTGGTTAGCACGGGGTAATCGGAATGGAATGAACAAAGGGAATGACAAGGAATGAAATGAAAATACCTAAAATTTAGGGTGGTGTTTGCTTTAAAAAAAACAAAGGGAATGAGACCCACTAGTCCCACCACCACACTGCCACCACACAGCCACCTGAAACATTCACTCTCCTATGTTTCCACCACCAAACCACCGCCAAACCACTCGTCGCACCTCCCTCACCCTTCGCCTCCCTTCTCGGCCATCCCCGCCCCTCGCAAAACCTCCCTCAACCCCTAAAAAACCCTAAATTGATATTGAACTTCATCGCTCAATCGAAACAGGGGCGGTGATGAAGGCTTTCGGGATGGGGGAAGTGCGACAACCTCCGACGAGGCTTCTTTCTGTTAAACGGACGAACCTCGGTGTTATTTACGACGATAACAGTGATAAATTGATTTCCACCACTGATGTTACTAAGCTTGATCGGAATCGTCGTGGAAGGTGCGACGAGGGTCAGGAGAGGGGCAGCGAGGGTCGGGGAGGGGCTCCGATGGTGTGGGTAGGTAGGAAGGTGGTGAGGTGGCGATGTGGTGGTGGTAGGGAATGGGAATGGAAATACCAAGGGGGGTGGGGAATGAATTTAGAAGGATTTAGGGGAATGGAGGGGTAAAGGGAATGGGAAAAACGATTAACAAACGACAACAAAGTGAATCAGGGTGGTTGATTCCCTTTCCCTTTGATTACCTCAAATCAAACGATCCCTTAAATTAATTTTGTTGAATTGAATTTGTTTTTACTAAATAGAATTAATTTTAATGAACTGAAATCATTTTTGCGAATTAAAGTTATTTTTATTGATTAGATTTATTTCTATTGAAATTAATTTATTTCTACAAAACCAAATTTGCTTATCTGAAATTATTTTTACTGTCTAAACGGTCACAGGCTATTCAAATAAGCAATTTCCTACTGTATTCCGCAACAGGATTTTGTGAAATATTATGGAGTATTTAATATTTATTTATTTATTTGGAAAGAATATATTTAAGTATTCTTATTTCCTAATTGGAATATTTTTTTTTATTTTTTTTTTGAAGACTCCTAATTGGAATATTCATGGTACTGATATAATAATTTAAAGGAAAAACTCAATCAACAAATACAATTCGTTATATTATCAACTCTTAAATTAGCGTGTAAAATCTGTTGCTGCCTTAACTACGAAGGAAACAAAATAATTGGGAACTTCGAATTTAAATTCTTCTTTTTTATAGATTTGCAGTTTATCCCCACTTCTCAGAGAAAGAAGAAAACCAGAAAAAAAGGGGATAAATAAAAATGGGAATTTTCTCGAATAAGATTTCAAAGGAAGTCCTGAAACCCGGAGATCACATCTATTCTTGGAGAAACGCCTATCTTTACTCTCATCATGGTATTTTTCTTCTCTCCTTTTTTTTGGATTTATTTTCATTAATTTGTATTTTACTTTTGTAATTTTGTGGGTTTTTTCTTCCTTATTTTGTACCCTTTTCTGATTAAAGCAAAATGTAGCCGAAATTATTGAAAACCCTTTTCAATCAATTTTAGTAATTTAATGGGTAGAAGTTAAAGTGTTGTTTGGGATTTTTACATGTTTATGGGAATTGGGTTTTAATTGTTTGTTTCTAATTTTGGCGTTTTCTGGAACTTTCTAATTTTAGACTTTGTTATCTTTAGTTTTATGATAATGAAATCTAATACTTTTGAAACATTATTGAGGTTTTTTTTTTTTTTTTTTTTTTGAATAGACATTTTTGAGGTTTTGACAAAGGGTATTTATTACTTTTATCTTATTATGAAATTGTGTTTTATTAGCTTTTGATCTTGTAATTAAACAAGTATTTTATTGGGAGCATTTTGATGATGGTAAAGTAATCACAAATTATTGCTGATTAGTTTCAGCTTATATGTTGGATTGATATGAATCATATGTTTCACGATTTCACGAAGTATGTGATTTAGCGGGTTTCATTCATTGAGCTATGGATTATTTTGTAGAATATAGTTGACCAGTTATGTTGGACTTCTATATGGCCTGACTGCCTTAGAATAAGAACCCTGCGATACTCTTCCCACTATACTTGAAATAGCGTGATTGAGATTATGTTCTGTAATGATCTTCAGTTTGAAGGTAGCTGTAGATTTTGGCTGCCATTTGCTCTGAGATTATGTTCTGTAATGATCTTCAGTTTGAAGGTAGCTGTAGATTTTGGCTGTTATTTGCTCTTATCAGAAGTAGTGTTTGGGTTTGGTAATCAAACAAAATCAATTAGAACAGTTATGGTACGATTTTCACTTTGTTTCTAGATGTATACATGGTTCTGTTGTGCTCTTCACCTTGAATTCTTGCGTGTTGTTTAAATTTTAGGTATCACTGCTTGTCATACATTATCTCTCCATGATTTGGTTTATGTTTGTTCAAAACATGATGTTCATTCTGGTTTGGAGTTACGTTATATCCATTTATCAGGATATAGCCATGTAGTGCTGGTTCAGGGTTGACACGATGGAAAGTCAGGGATGTAAGTTAAAAAAAATAAATAAATAAGAAAAAACTATGGAGAAAATGGTCGTGGTATGAAAGTATCAATTTTCAACTTATTTCTTCTTATACCTAAGGTAGAGGGAAATGTTGTTACATCATTCTTTTATTGCTATTGTTTCCTTTATTTGAAGTCCTGTTCTATGAGAAGTATTGACATTGAAGGGTGGCACAAGGAGTAGTGACGAGTGAATATACAATTTTGTTTCAGAATAGATCAGTACTTTTGTCACTTTCAGTCATGATAGCTTGTAGTAGGTTCATAGTGGCTTCCCTATTTTTTTCTTTTTTATGACTTGCGGTAAACCACTAAATCCAATTCTGTGTTCAATTATACTGCTTTTTAATGCAAACAAAAGTTTTGCTCAAAATATTTTTAGATGTGTAATGCTATCTTGGTGGTTAACATGCTGTTTTCAAGATATAGTATTTCTTGATGGAAATGTTATTTATTTGGGAGCAATCTATATATTAATCGTTATGAAACTAGTCCTCATTCTAGTAGCTGTGGGTTAAGTTTGTTAGATTAAAAGTTGTAATATGGTTTTTCATTGAAGAGTTTATTGGTATCTTTCAATTCATGGGATGAGTTTGATTGGGATAGATTGGATGTGTAAGTTTGCTTATGCGATGCTTTTAGACCCAGGGCATAATATCATTGGTCCCCTTAATACTTTTTGTTGATTGAAAAATTGTCCAACTTTCTTCAACTTAGAAATAAAAGCTGTGTTTCCATCACTAATTCACTATTTAGAAGTTATATCTTGAAGAAAACTTTGAACGCTTATGTGTATCCTTATTCCTTTTAAGAAATAAGGCATAGTGCTTTTGTCATGGTTGATATAGATAGTCTGACCGCTCACAACTCTAACAAGTCTTAAAGTTTGGAGTAAACATTGTACATCAAGACTTGGTAGGATTTTTGACAAAACTTGCAGTTCTGATAATTAGCCTCATCTTTTGGCTATTGTGATTTAGGCCCATTGATGGTGTGATTGGATGAGACTTTCACAAGTGTATTTTTAAATTCATCAATAATGTGTTTGGAGAACTTACAAGTGCTTACCTGGCTTTGGTGTAATCCGTGACAGGCATATATGCTGGCGAGGGAAAAGTCATCCACTTTACAAGAGGACCAGGCCAGGAAATAGGCACAGGAACTTTTCTAGACAATATCGTCTTCAGCTCATCAGCTCCCTCTGATCGCACAAAAAGTCCATGCCCTGTATGTGGTGACCAATCAAACCTCAGCGGTGTCATTTCATCCTGCCTTGACTGTTTCCTCTGGGATGGCGAGCTTTATCTCTTTGAATACAAGGTAACACCTGCTTTCTTCCTTGCTAAGGCACGTGGTGGAACCTGCACGTTGGCCCCCTCAGACCCACCAGAAGATGTTCTATCCCGTGCTTCTTTTCTCCTAGAAAATGGTTTTGGTGGTTACAACATCTTCAGGAACAACTGTGAGGACTTTGCCATATATTGTAAGACAGGTTTGCTTGTGGTAACAGACATTAGTGTGGGTCGAAGTGGACAAGCCACTGCTTTTGTAGCTGCCGTGAGTGCAATTGTCTCTTCCCCACTAAGATTCTTAACCACTAGCTGTAGTGGGTTGGCAGCCGTGGGATGTGGTATGTACTGTGTTAGCAGGCTGGTGGCTGACATTGGAGTGAGGCGTGATGTGATGAAGGTTGCTGTTGAGACGCTCGTTAGCCGCCGTGACTTAGTCCAGTCAGCTGAGACTGGAACTGCTAAACTAGATCTTGTTAACAGCTGTGATGTAGATCTGCCAGCTGAGACTGAAACTGCTACACTAACGCTTGTTAGCAGCTGTGGTTTAGACCTGCCTGGTGAATCTGCTACTACTAAACAAGACTAGTATTTGGCTGTCTTGGTCAAGGCCAGCTTATTGATGGCTGTCTCGATGTAGACCAACTCAGGTTATTGTTTGTGTTCTGGTGTGAAATTATCTTATTTATCGAGAAAATTCTCTGATTTGTTGGAAATGTAATATCTGATGTCACCTATCCTTGTTGGAAGTTGGCTATTCAAACTTTTGGGCAATCAAATTGGTGTAAATACTGAACCTGTACAACAAAGACAATCTCTGCGCAAGTTGTTTTTGGATGTCATTTGTTTTCAATCTAGACCTTAAATTGATGGCACAGTATTTTAGTCTGGTAACATAAATCGATTGAACATAACAGTATGCCTTGTATGGAATGCTTGTTAGCTGATTAAATGAATTTACTGTCTGTCCATCTACTTCCATTTTAAGTCGAAATTGTATTGATGCCGTATTTGGCAACTGGCATTAATTGTTTAACGTAATAATTAGACAAAACAATTAGTTAAACAGTTAAGGCAAGTAGACTTTTGGCAGTCGTAATAGCCTTGAGGTAGTGTTTAATTTTGCTGAACAAGCCCTAAGAAGTAAGAACAGAATATATTAGAAGTCATGACTAGAAAATTACGCAACGTGCTTCAACCTCTGCAAATGTAAATTTTACATGCATTGACATCAATGATACTTCTTCAAATGCCATTTTTAGTGTACCAAAATAAATAAATAAAAAAAATTTAACATTACAACTACAACTCTTTGCTAAAGCAGCTGCAAAACTAAGCAGACTGGGGAAAAAATTCTCACAGGAAGGGGAATTTAGTTACAATTAACTTCAGAATACAAGGCCATGTTCTCGCGCTGCATCAGCAAGGGCTTTAACACGTCCATGGTAAGGGTAACCACCTCGGTCAAAGGCCACCTTAGTTATTCCTTTCTCCAAACAGTTTTTGGCAATAATTTCACCTACCTTCTGTGCCACTTCCTGTTATCAAATTACACAATAATCAGCATGACATTCCAGAAAAGTTGTACTCAAACAAATTTGTTTAAACAAAAAATGATCAGATAAGAATTCCATGTACTCATGCTGGATTGTTAACAGTCTCAAAGAAGATACTGCTTTTACAAAGTTACCCTTTATTCTATGATGAACTACAGTTACAAATGTGGCCTGTTATTATTTACAAATGTAGATATTAAAGTTCACCACTCTGAAAACATATTGTTACAGTGGAAAGTCCAGATTCCTGCCAACAGCTAATTCTCACCTTAAACAAGCTCTCATGATTAAATTCTAGATAATTCAACATACTTCATCGTGTTTCAAAAGGATAAGAAATGCAAGCCAAGCCAGGATACCAAAGATGATCATATACAAAATCCTGTGTAAAAAAGATAGAAATCAATGTTTTTAAAGACAATATACTTACAATCGTGGGACCTGATGAATAGTCAATGCTCTCTGAGATAAGTTTCTGCATTGTAGAAGCTGAAGCAAGAGTGTGCATTTTAGTATCATCAATTACTTGCACATAGAGATGCTTGTTGGAGCGGAAAACACAAAGTCTTGGCCTTTCTGGTGTCCCTTCTACCTGAGGAACCTCAAATATTAGTGTTGGAACACTTGGAATACAGTGAGATGTCAACTTCCAAGACTATGGAGTTGGATTCTAAGATACAGAGGAATAAAACCCCCAAAAAGCAACATTTCAAACAAGAACTATAATAGAGGATAGGATTTTTAAAGAGAGCTCAAGAAGGGGTGATAATGGAAAATGAACATTTGCTGACAGTACACGCTTGAGTTTAGTTTCTTTGAAAAACCTTAAAGCTTAAACAATTCAAGAAGGCAAAAGGAACTGCTCCAAGTTCATCCCACATTTACGATGAATTCAAGCTCATCAATTGAACTACTCTCAGCACTTAGAAGGTGATCAGAAAATTGTGTTTTACAAGTTGGCAATTTTATACTATTTGATTCTCTTTTTACCCTCTTGTTATCTTCAAAATAAATATAAAGCATGTTGAACTGATATAAAAATCCCACCTTTTTATAACAAATAAATCAAATGACTTCTTATATATAGCAGTTTCCTAATGTTGAATGACCCATCCCCTCCATTTTCCATACCACTTGACTTTCCTGATCGTGGAGCCATGGGAAGTAACCATTTGCTCTATTATAACATTTTAACAGCTACATAGAATGACACTTTCACGATGCAATAAAACAGTGACAGTTTTGACAGATGCATTAAGTGTCCGACTGTCCCCCACCATGAAAATATGAGTCTAACCAAATAAGGTGTAAATAAATCATAACAAGTACATCAACATTGTTCTTATGAAGTACTTTTAGTGACATAAAAATAGATTCTCTTGCATACAACCTGTTTTATGAACCCTTCATTTGCTCTATTATAAAAATAGATTCTCTTGCACCAAATAAACAGTCCATATACAATAAAACTTAGGCCTCTGAAATTACCAATAATGAGGGATACAAGATGCATATAGAACTCTAGAATCACAAGATGAACCAAATTATTATGTCCATATTCGTTATTCGTTTAAATTCTCGGCAAAATGACACAGCAACACAGTTGAATGGACTTCAAACCACATTCCAACTGAAATAATTTTACACCAAAAACACCAATGCTCTTAGATTGCATAATGAGCAACCAAGCTCACAATTCACAACATGTATCCAAACAAACTCTCCCTTACATAATCTTATAAGTCCAACATTGTTTTTACACTCCAAAGATCAAGAGCAACAATTTTTAGGGTCATACTCATCAAGACTCTAAATTCCTAAATTCAACTTCCAATTGATAAAGTTTCATCTTTTGCTCCATTCTCTCAATAAATCTAACCATACATCAATCATACACCCACATTCTTCCTAACAATGTAGACACCCAATTCGTAGCATGAGAAATGGTATGGTAACGCAATTCACTACCTACATTTATCAACACACTACCAATCACCTCTTTTGGATACCAATTCATGGGATTTAATCAAATTACCAGGACCCTAAAATTCAACTTCCAACACAATAATTTTCACAATTCACTTCGATTTTCCAACCAATTTCCACCACATACCAAAACAATAACTTCCAAAATTACAATTCAAAACAAAACAATTCTTAAAATAACAAAATACCCAACAAAATTTAAAGCAAAATGGTCAAACCCCATAAATCAAACAAACTTAGAAACCAAAAAATTGCTACAATTTCAACAAGAGAAAGGAGGTAAAACCAATAATACCTTCTTCCTAATACGAACATGGCGGGCAGTGCGGTCTTCGCGGCGAGTGTGAGCCTTAGCTTGAATGATTGGAAGAGTTTGTGGGCGGAAATTGACGAAGTTAGGCGGCTGAAAGAGTTGTTGTGAAGAAGAAGAAGCTAAAGTGGAATGGAAGAATGAGAGTGATGCTGAGGCAGAGGCAGCCATGCCTGAATATTTTGTGAGCTTCTGTTTTTCTCACTCTTGTTTATCTTCTCCATTGCCGTTCCCCCCCTTTTTATCGTTGAGCACCTTATCTTTTTTTTTTTTTTTTTTTTTTTTTTTTTTTTTTTTTTTTTTCGGGTTTTACCGTTTTACTTGAATTTGTTATATGTACCGTACACGTAACTCACCTAAGGTTAATTTTTGCTCTTCATTTGATAATATAATGAAAAATAATCGTTAAAATGAGAACAAAAACTCATATAAGAGTATGGTACAACTGGGTATATATAACAATCTCTCCTATTTTACGGAGTAATAGGTTAGCGGCCCTAATTATTTTATGCAACTGAGAGGTTAAATTGTTTGTAAAATTGAATTAAGGAGTTCATTGATATGTTGGTAAATAGTAACTTTGTATCGTGATTTGATAAACAAAGAACTATTGATTTATTTATTTTTAGAAGATTTGCCAATTAGTACCGCGTATTAATATCATTTTGAAAATTACTATAGTACTGCGAATTAAAAATCTTGTGAAAATTACTTTTATAAAATATTTAAAAAATTTTATTTTACTACCAGCCTCCCCTTTAGACCATTTATAACGTCATATTTCCTCTTAACCCACGTTTAACCATTAATTAACCATTTAAACGACTCAAAAATAAAAAGAAAAATAAAATCTCTCCTAACCTGATTATCCTAGCTAACTAATCTTCCACCGTCACCATTGCTAAATATTCTCCAAGCTTCTTGCTCCAAATTTACACTTACTAGAGTGTACCCGTGCAAAATGCACGGAATATATATAAAAATCCTAATAACAAAATTATATTTCAAATACGTAAGGTTGATTTTTATATAGTATATAATAAAATTGGTAGTTTTTTGGGTAGTTGTGTATTATTAGGAAAAATAATTGTGGAAGTTATTTGGAGATTTATTTTTTTAGAGAGGTAGAAGTTGTTTGGATGCCAAATAAAATAAAAATAAAAATAAAAAACAGGAGAGTGAATGAGATTTAAGAGTTGGGGTTTTGAAGGATTGTGGTGAAGTGTTGCAAAATTAACTCTACAATTATATATTAGATTTTTCCCATTGATTCTCCAATTGGTCCCGATGAACATGTAATTCACCTCTATTAAATTCGGTTTTTAGGGTTTCAAATCAAGGATATTAAAGTTATTCAGGAGCAATTTAGAAGCGATGCCATTAGTTAATTGGTGTTTAATTCTTGTATTGAGAATTTAAATCTCTTAAGGGATTATTGTAAGTGCCGAATGACTATTATTATTGAATGAAATCACCCCTCCTTATTCCATTTTTTTTTAAAAAAAGCGCTATCAACTAAGCATAATTTGTGATTTTGCTTTGAATTAAGCTTTCAACGAATTCTAGCTTTGAATTGTAAATAATTTTTTTTTCGGGCTCCCTCCTTTACTGCTTCCTCCCTTTTAATTCATTGCTTGAAATTCTGATCAATCTTGCAAAGTAAAGTATTCAGTTGTAGAGCAGAAGATTGTGACTCCAATTTATAGGGTGGTCTTCAATAGAGGTTGAAGGTAAGAGGTCAAAGTGGAGTTATGAGAGAGAAAGATAGGAAATGGGGGTATAGTTTAGCTAGGGTAAGTGGTAACCATGTGTTAGGAGGAATTTTATTTTCCCTTTTTTTTTGGGGGTCGTTTAATTGGTTAATCAAGAATTAAACGTGAGTTAAGGGAAAAGATGACGTCATAAATGGTCTAAAGGGGACGCTGGTAGTAAAATCAATTTTTCTAAAAAAAATAAATTACGGTAGTAATTCACAAGATTTTTAATTCCCGGTAGTAATTTTTAAAAATGACATTAATACGTGGTAGTAATTGACAATTTTTTGGGTTTTCCTGTTTTAGTAGGTTGGTGACACTGATTATTTTATGCGATTGAGAGTTTAATCATATGGTTTATAAAATTGA